AAAAAAATTTCCCCTTCGGGGGGGGGCACAAAAAAATAAAATAAAATATTGACATTGCTGTTACAGTCCTTGGCATTTCGTGTACTTAACTCTGACATGCAACCAAATTATTATGCAGCATTTATATAACACTGAATTCATGTTCACTGTTGCATTCTCAACCTGCAGAGGAAGAGAACTAAGACTAAATGGCCTTTTTTTTTAGCATGAAGCGAGCGCTTGTTTATGGAAAAAGAAAATCACTGAATTACTTGCGAAAGGTAATGTTTTTCTTCCCTTTCCATACTAGAGCAGCCCTCCTGTGCTACATGAAAACAAGATTATGAAGCTCCTTCATTGCCCTCTTATGCTCTCATGCCATTAAACAAAAAACACCTCCCCATGGGTCACCTTTAAAAATAAATGCATCTACTGGAAACCCCTTTTCCTTTATCCAACCCTCCCCATGACTGTCCTAGTAAAGCTTACCTGGTCTTTTCCACAATCAGCTGGGCAACCGGTGTCCATTTTTAATTTGGGAAGACGTTCCACAGAGAAGGCTTTACTGAATGCATCTATACTGTTAATTTGCCTTTACTTCAGTCAAGAATCTGATTGGCAGTTTTGAATCCCTATACCTTTTTGAATATACAATGAATTTTTACTGAATCAGTAAGAACTAAAGCTCTCTAAAATGCAAATCTGCCAAAAGTCAAACAATCAAGGTAAATAATGGAGGATATTTGGGATGCACATGGTCAGTTACAAACTTTCAGCACTCTCAGTTTCAATGAAATTTTAACATATTATAAAGCTTAGCCATTTTACATGGGATTTTTCTAAAAATTGGGCCAATCACACTTGCTTCCAAGTAGCTGCTCAGTGCCAGTTTTTCAGACTGTCTCAATTTTGTGATTAATACAATATTCAGTTATTAGAATGGTACAACACTGAAAATCAATGCATCTTACCTATACGGCTGCTCCTGCAGCTCTATAATAAAAAATATTGGACCAAATCACATTCAATTTCCACTTGTAAACCTCAGAAAGATAAACAAGGGTCTGGTAGCACTTTAAAGACTAAAAACATTTTATTACAGCATAAACATTTGTGGGCTATAGCCCCATATCTTCAGACATTATGACTGAATCCTCATTTTGCATGGACTCACTAAGCACTAACAATATGCAGTTATTCTTTATCATGTTTGAAAACATAGTAGTAGGAATGCCTTCACCTGCATCATGAAACAAGAACTAAACAAAAGTGTAAAGGCATCAAAGCTGTTTCTACCAAGGAAAAATGATGAAGTATAGTTAAATAAAGAATTAAATGCACATCCTTGAAAATCACATTTAACAATAATTTAAAAAAAATAGTCATCTCAGCATTCTTGTCAGTTCTTTATTTTTTAATCCCTAAAGACTAGCACATTTACAGCATACATGGATTGGATGAATTAAGACTATATAAAACAGTAACCATATGTTTATGGTATATTAATACTGCCCCCAAACAACTGAATAAATTAAAAAAAAAATTCAATGCACAAAGCTTGGCAAGTACAACTGTGTTGGGACAAAACAGTGCTGTACATTAGCTTTACATACATAGGTGAAACCCAAAAAGCGACTGTGCTGCGGGAGCATTCACAGAATATACACAGAACATAACTTGGCAGCAGTTTTCTTCTTAAGTATGCTTCGTTTTTTTTAAAAAAGGTACTCAAAAAGAACATTAGCTAGAACTTCATATCATGGTAATCCTTAAGAATGCCTTTCCTGTGCAAAAATAAAACAAAACAAAATATTTTTTTTAAAAAAAACCAGACTATGACGTTTCCTACATGGATTTGTGATTTCACAGTTTTCCATTTTTGATCAAGCTCTGCTCACTCTGGCCCTTTGTGGGATCCTATTTACGTGCACGACATATCGTATGTATAAAAGACGAGCTGGACAAGGTTGTTCCTACTTATTGCAACCAGAAAGATTGAGATCGCACTATTGCATCCCTTCCCTGTATCTAATGCAACAGTGCAACTGGTATTCTCCCACTTTAAAAAGGGAGAGCAATGAATGCGCATGATGAGTTTAGAAATTATTCTGAGTACTACTACAGGGCTCTTAGCAAAGTCCAATGTGAATGTAGTTTTGTAAAACAAGCAATTTTTAATAGGTGAATTCAAGTATAAAGGCTGATCTCATTTTTAAGGGGTCTTAATGAAAGTGATCCTAAACAAATAGGCTGCTCATCTGGCCTAAAACTTTGCTAGCAGACTTTATACTGCTGACATATGTACCACGTAAGAGCACCTTTTGTGCTTTGATGCACAAACTGCCCTCCAGTGATATGGGGTTCACATTTGTTCAATGAAAAGAGCAGTGCAGCATGCATCTCCTTGTATATGCAGAGCTATGCTTTCCATATAAATGAATTGGCACACCTCAAGAATGGGAAAGAGCTATAGGAGTTGCTGTGCCAGTAAAAGGTGGACAAAATAGGACAGGTGTGTTGTATTTAGAAATGTCATACAGGTATATGTCTGTATATACAACCATAAACACTGACTTGCTTACTTCAGAATTACTGAAATCTTCACTAATAACTGTACAGGTCTTCCATCTGAGAGTTTAAAACTGAAGGTATTTTAAATACATGATTAAAATATATCAAAATAAGAGGTTGGGGAACAGAATAAATAAAAAAATACCACTTTGTATACTATATCGGTAAGACTTCTCAACAGTATAATTTTAACATATTCCACAACATTTGACATGGTGCAGAGATCTGAGGTTAAACAGGTTACATGGGATTATACCTTTGTAATGGCAAGAAAGACTAAAGCAGTAAAAGAACCAAATTCAGCAAAATCAGGATTCGAATGTTTACAGAGCAGCTAAGACATTGAACTGCTAACAGCAAACAGTGAAAAGCAGCTACCACCGGCACAGAATTAATAATCAAAAGCTGCAAGAAATTAAAGTGCAAAAAAAAAACCCCAACAGAAAGAAGTAAAACGCACTTAGAAAATATCACACGTATAAGAAGCTGTTTTCTTGAGGCAAAGTGAACCACATTTCCATTACAAGACCCATGATTCTAAATAAGTGTACTTATAAAAGTTTGTTTTGGATTGCAGCCTTAAAGTGAAAGGAAAATCTTTGAATATCATACACAAGATTAAACCAAGATAAAACATGATATGATTTAGAAACCAATGCTTAGTTTATGCTTTGAAATATACACTATTTACTGGAGGAACTGCTGAATGTGTATTAGGGTGATCAGCGGAATATATTGCACCATCTTACCATCCAGTGCAGCACTCACAGATTTATTTTTGTGCTGGAACAATCTACAAGGGGGTAAATTCACGTCTCTATATAAAGTGGTAACCGACTTGAGTTTATCACATGGGGGCTTTTCACACAACCCTCTCCCACATGAAAATGATGCAATAAAATCACCATGCACAAATGTTGTCACCTCAAAAGCAAATATGTGCATTGGATCTCAGAAGAGATTTGGAAAAATGGGATTTTACATTTAACAGTTGCTTAGGTGTCAGTACACCAACTGTTAATCCACAGATTAAAGAAACCCACTTTCTACTGATGCTGTAACAAAATTAATGAAAAAACAAACCACCACTGCCTTGAAGTAGTGAGCACTGACAAAAAGAAAGCTCTGAGAAGGACTAATATTCAAAATATCACGCTCAACAATTAGGGAGACAGTCATAAAAACCACGGGAATCACGGTAGTACATAATGCTCTGGAAGTATAAAGTCCTTTATATTTGAAAATAATGGTATCTAAATGTAAGGGGAAAGGGAAAATGAGAAAATCACAACCTGATGCCTATGCAGGTTTATGCACACCTAAGGCCCCCTTGATCTCAGTGTCTTAGATGTCCCTAATGCTATCTATCAAGCACTTTAGGTATCTGATAGAAGGCTTGTTTGCATGAAACACCTAAGCTGTGCAAGTAACCTGCATAAGGTACTGCAGTGAGCAATGTGGTGGTAGGGGAGAAGATTCAGAGATCTGCTTCAAAATGCTGGCTTCCACTGAACATTGTTGTGTGAAGTAACCTGCCTAACGCACACAAAAAAGGGTGTAAAGTAATAGGGACTGAATCAACAGATGATCCAAAATAAACAAGTAACCAAGCCTATGAAATCCCCATTGGTACTTTACAGGGCAGATTAGTTTGGATTTTCCTACCTGATCTGCAACTATTTCTTGACTGTGCCTTGTAAGTGCTAGGATGGATCCTGCCAGTTTTTCCACTGGTGCAAAAGGGATCTCACCTGATTACCTTCCTCGCTGTAGTCCTGTCCCACATATTTTTTTCTGTCTGGGTCCTGCAATCACCAGCATAGCTTTCTTGCAGGTCAAAAGGGTTTTCCCTTTTAAACTAGCTGAAATGTTGGTTTGACAGCTAAACAACAATGAAAACTGTAAACATTTCTCAAGTCGATTGAAGGCATCACAGGCCCAATCCAGTTTCTGAACCAACTGGGTCTTGTGTCAGTTCCTGGGCCTGTATATTACAAATTAATAGTGTTCCATATACAATAAAACATGTTAAGCTCCTGGCTTTAAAACATGTTAAGCCCTAGTTTTAAAAAGCAGAGCTTTTGCTGTAACAGTGCCTCTTACCAAACTGCCTTGCACCCTTTAGTTTACTATTTACAATTCTGAGGTTCTAAAAAGTATTATGAAAATCTCAAATCAAACCAGTATAAAAAGATGTGTGAAACAGCTGCCTAAATATCATTCATAAAATCCTGGACAGTCTGGAGTTACCTCCCTTCTTTAGGCATATAGGTAAGAAATCAGTGATATCTTATATTCAGGCATCTTACATAAACTGATGGACAGTTGTATGAGCAGATAGTCATCACAATATTTTCATGTTATAAGGGGTCAGAATTATTCCTAGGGAATCCAATTTAATAAAATTACATGCTCAGTGTTACCTAGTGAAACGTACAAAAATTGTTTTTTGACTTTATTGTCAAAGTTCATATACTAAAGTTGAGTGTATCCACATGTTTTAACGGAACGACTGATTACAAGACACCGTAATCTTATGATTCAACTTTTCCATAAGTTCCTTCGGGAGGCCTGTAATGCTTGGGGAAAGCCTTCAGTTGCAGGGAATTAAATGCATACTTGCGACATCCAACATTCTTCATTGTATTTTCTCTTCGACAACCCTCACTGGGGAAAAAAAGACAAGCACAAAAATGACAGCAGTAAAAACAAAAAAAGCCCAAAAACAAAATACTTTGGCTATGGTGACATGAGCCGGTCATTTCATAACGTTTAAATATTATAATGGGTGCTTGAATCATTTGCCATTGCAAATATTGGAAGCAGTGGATCATTAAACAATGTAGGTATGATGAACATGAAATAGAAACATGCTATGTCTGGCTACTAAGCCTTGCAGTTCTAAAAAGCAGCAGTGTATCTAGTTGCAATGCACATTTCTCTCCGTGATGCTCCTATGAATTTCATGATACATGTGCTCTGAAGTTTTAGGTCATTTCATTGCATATAGGGCCCTAAAACTCTAATCCAAGCCACCATGGGATTAATGAGTTTAAAGAAAATGCTAACTCTTGAAATGAACGCTTTACAATAACTATTATTTCCTACATATCAGTTTAGCGAGAGCTTTACTGAAAGTTAGAAGAATAACTGGATAACTTGCCATGCATAAGTACTAACAATCACAATCCCTAAATTCTGACACTGCTAAATTGTTTGAAAAATACTCTTTTCATTATAGTCATCAACATACACCACAAAGCTGTAAACATTTTGGAATGTAATCTTTTCCTCATATTTGCCTACTGCAGAAGTAACACTGCTGATTCCAGACCATGGTTAGAAGAACAGCAGCGGGTAGTGGGCTCATATGCCCCTTTCCTTCCCTGTCCGGTACAGATTTCCACTCCCTTACCGGCTTAAATCTTCATTTATTTATGGGTATACTAGGGAAGCTATTTTATTTATTTATTGGTTTTTTTGGTTATTTTATTGGATTTATATCCTGCACTCCCCGCTTTACAGCAGGCTCAGGGTGGCTTACACTAATTAAATACAGAACAATTAAAATCATATAAAATCATCTAAAACAATTCAATTGTAAGCAGTCATAATTTATAAAGTGCTGCATAATAAGTTAGTTGTTATAAGACGGCGTACTTAACAGTGTACACAAGATCTCGCCACCATTCTGCTCATGATCTTCCTAACACACGGGCGGGCGCAGGCTAGGTGTCAAGAGCCAAGGGCCAGGGCTATAGTTAAAGTTGTTAATATGGTGTTAATATGGTGGTGGCTCCTAATTATAGGCCTGGTGGAAGAGCTCCGTCTTGCAGGCCCTGTGAAACTGTAAAAGATCCCGCAGGGCCCTGATCTCCTCTGGCAGCTTGTTCCACCAGTATGAGAAAGCCCTGGCCCTGACATCTTTGGGGCCCGAAGAGTCAATCCGTTTGTGACCCCGTAGTGCTCTCTGGGGTAGATATGGGGAAAGGCGGTCCCTCAGGTATGTCGGACCCTGGCCATAAAGGGCTTTAAAGGTAAGAACCAGCGCCTTGAAGTGGATTTGGTATGCTATTGGCAGCCAGTGCAGGGACTTTAGCAGAGGCTGGATGTGCTCCCACCTGGGGATGCCCATCAGAAGCCTGGATGCAGCATTCTGCACTAGCTGCAGCTTTCGAATTTGCGACAAGGGCAGCCCCATGTAGAGAGCGTTACAGTAGTCTAGTCTCGAGGTGACCATCACATGGATCACTGTTACCAGGTCATTGTGGTCAAGAAAGGGAACCAACTGCCTAATCAGCCGAAGATGGTAAAAAGCTGACCTGGCAGTGGCTGCTACCTGGGCCTCCATTGATAAGGAGGCATCCAGGAGCATTCCCAAACTCCTCACCTCCAGCGCTGGCACCAATGGCACCCCATCGAAGGTTGGGAGTGGGATCCCTACCCCCGCACCACCCTGACTCAGACACAGGACCTCCCCTCCGTCTTCGTCGGATTCAGTTTCAGCCGGCTCAACGTAAGCCAACCAGCCACGGCTTGTAATGCCCGGTCCAGGTCTTCCGGTCTGGAGCTGGAATGACCGCCCAACATCAGATAGAGCTGGGTGTCATCAGCGTACTGGTGACAACCCAGCCCATGCATCCGGGCAATCTGTGCAAGGTGGCGCATGTAGATGTTAAGCAGCATTGGGGAAAACACAGCCCCTTGAGGCACTCCACATTCAAGTGGGTGCCTCCAGGTCTGCTGTTCCCCTAGTGCCACCCTTTGTTCCCATGGGAAAAGGAAGCGAGCCACTGCAAGGCAAGCCCCTGAATTCCAATGTCGGGGAGGTGGTGGGTCAGAAGCTGCTGGTCAACTGTGTCGAACACCGCGGACAGGTCCAACAACAACAGCACCGCCACTACGCCCTGATCCAGATGCCTTCGGAGGTCATCCGTGAGAGCGATCAGTGTTGTCTCCATCCCATGTCCAGGGCGAAAGCCGAACTGGAAGGGATCTAAGATAGAAACGTCATCCAAAAAGCTCTGTAGCTGAACCACCACTGCCCTCTCTATTAATTTGCCCAAATAGGGTAAATTGGAAACTGGCCAACATTTGGCCAATTCAGCAGGAAGCAGGATCCAAGGATGTTTTTTTTCAAGAGAGGGAGAACCACTGCCTCCTTGAGCACCCCAGGGAACTGTCCCCTCTGGACCAAAAAGATTTGGTCAATAATTTGGTCAAATAGATTTGGTCAATAGTTAAATTAAATACAGGTCAAATATTTTAACTGTTTGTGTAAAACAATGAAAATAACATTATAAAAACATTAAGAATTCATTAGAATTGTAACTGTTAATGTTAGATATGGTTTCTATATACGTAAACAATGTATTACACAATTATTTTCTTTGGCTTTTATTGATGACCACCAGGGTTGGCCTACAGTTTCAAAATTAATATCAAGTAACAGTGACTTTTTTTAAAGTAAATTTTTACAGGCTAACTAGACAGCACTCAAGTTCTTCTGCTTTGGAAAGGCCTGTAGTTATTGCAGTTGGTCAGCAGGGGAAGCTTTTTTGTGCTGCTGGGCAGTCCCTGATGGCTGCAGGGCTATAGGGCAAAAGGACCTCATACTCTTGCCTTCACTAACAAACAATGGCATCATAGTGAAACAAAAAAAAAAAGATAGCTGCCACCTGCCAAAGTGCAGGCTTGGCTTCACAGAACATTTGACAACCATGCTCAAGTAATCGCTGGGCAACTGATTGGTGTGCCAACCCTCGTCTATCATAGTGCTAATTATGGTTAACACTAGCCATGTTTCTTCTTAGCCAAGATGTGCAAACCAATGTCAGGCTCTGGCTCTGAGAGGAATCTGGGTCAGTACTTTCCATACCTAATGGTAAACTGTGGTTAAGGCCCAATGAAAGTATATGAAAACGTCATACTAGGGAGCCGGGAGACCTGGATTCAAATCTCCACTGTGCCATGAGGTTCATTGGGTGACACTGGGACTGTCTGTCTGTCTGTCTGTCTCTCTCAGCCTAATCCATCTCATGGAGTTTTTTGTGTGAGAGTAAAATGGAGGGGGAAAGAATGACGTATGTTGCCTTCGCCTCTTCAGAGGGGAAAAAAGGATAAAATTGTGACAGAAGAGAGAATTTGCAAGGGAAACTTGAGATTACTGGGGTGGGGGAGGAAGTACGTAAGACTGCTAGCTGTTCTTTTAACCATGATTAAGCAATCGGCAGCATTTGATACGTCTGTATTGAAGCAGCAAGTCTTGTGCTATGAAGGGCAATGCTAAGAATAGGCTGTCTTAATGGTAATACTCTTGTTCTGAACTCTATTGCACTTTCTACATTTAGATTCTGAATGCTATTGCAAAGACCATTCGATTTCCTGAAAACTGATGGCTTTCAAGAACAGCTGTACAGCAAGGAAGCACATAATTTTGATAGACATAAATTAACTTGGACCATCATAAAATGTTTTCCCATTTTCTTTCTTTGGTTCCTTTGACACACAGAAGTTAACAAGGGAAAATGGGAGTGGTTTCATGCTAGAGCATCACTGTAAGACAGTATACAAACTGTAAGACAGTATACAAACATATGACAGAGGTAATTTATTTATAGTTTAGAGACTAATGACAGCAACAATTAACATGCTCCTTGTTAAACTATGGCATCTTTATTTCCAAGGTGAGCTGAGATTTTCATTAATAATAATTTATTCCAATTTTAATGTGAGGCCCAACCCAGCCAAACCGACTTTTAAAAAATCAGTTGATTTTATATGGAGAGTTAAACATATTCATTCCTTAATGTATCTGTCTTGATTGCAATTCATATTATTCAGTGTCACTTTTAAAACACAAAAATGTTCTCGGGAAAAACTGTTACAATTACAGAAAAAGGCACAGTACCTTTTGATTATAAGGGAAATACATGTGTACTGTCATATTTATACTGAGTGCACTCTGTACATGCTTTTACAAACTGCATTCCTTGTGGTGCAACCCAGATCACTCCAGGGCTCCAGTATGCACACGAAGCTCTGTACATATAGCAGCTACTACTTCAGCATCAGAGAGAAGAGGAGGGGATCTACTATACAGCCTGCCCAAACATACCTATAAATTAATTATTTGTAGCAGCTTGAAGGAAGAAAAATAAGTATTAAAAATACTTTTCTGTTTACAAAACTTCCCTAGCCAGCCTGGTTGTTGTTGTTGTTGGGGGGGGGGAATTACTCACTCCTTGTGACAAGGTTTTGTTGTATGCACTGTAAACTATGCCCTTGCAAACTGGATCCTACACTTTTTTTGAGAGAGAGAGACACAATTTAGTACATGCAATGGCAACTTCAAATGAATGGTATCTGATGAAGGGAGGTTTGAAAGCTTATACTCTGGAATTCTAGTTGGTCTTTAAGGTAACAGGACTCAAAATAGCTCTTCTACTGCAGACCAACACAGCAACCCACATGAAACTCTCTTCAAATGAACAGGTGAATCTTTCCTGTCAAGACATCAATCATACATTACATGGCACTACCACTGATCAAAATTAATGGGCCTACTGCCATAAGTGTTCTGGTAAAATATATTCCTATGTGAGTCAGATGGCAAACAGGCAGTTATGTCTCACCAATTATTTTCAATAAATGTTTGCATGACAGATTTGCATGTATTCAGCTTGTTCTGCACCAGTTATATTGGTTATCAATCTGCTCCTAGGCACAATTCAAGTTGTTTTTTTATCTTTAACCCTACCTGCTACCTTCGTACCTTGGCCTTTCCCTTTATATCAGCTTGTCCTACACCCCACAGTTTAGTTAATATGCACTGCTCACTGAGTACATTGTTTTGACAGTTTATTATAGTAACAGCTAGAAGTTGTTCTAGTCCATAATTTCTGGAACCTCATTTCTGAAGAAGAAACCTTACCTCCTGAGCTCTACTTCTCTGCTAGAGAAGTATCTCTAAAAGATCTTTTATAACAGGAATTTGGCTGGTCTGGGCTCTTCTCTCAAATACGTTTCAATGTTTTATTTGCTTTAGATTGTATTTTCTTCTTGTGCATTATTTTAAGCTGTTTTGAAAAAGCAGTTATCTTTTTCAGCAGTTATCTGAATATTTTAAACATATGTCACTCACAGCCCCCCAAGCAAGAGGTGATTTTGGCATGCGAAAGAACCATATCAGCTACCCAACTCACATGACTGCTTCTTAGAGATGTTACTGGGGCATCATGGGATCCAGGCACAATGGAGCATTATATGAGACCATTGATGGCAGTAGTTGAGGCTACAGCCACCTCTTATGCCGGTCAAAGTTAATTTGATCCAATATACCTATTATGTGTAGTTTGTAGCACAACAGAACATGAAATTTAGAATTCTCTCAGCCATATAATTGGTATTTAATATCTAATAATTTTTACCTAATGAAATTCATCCCCCAAATGGAAATTTAGTGTTTAAGCAATGAGTTTTCTGAACAGGGATATATGCATATTTAAAGAAAGACATGTAATAGTGGTAGGAATTAAGTGGTAATTCTCATTTAACTTTGAGGGTAATTGGCTGGGAACAGTCTCTGATGTATATTAGCATCTTTCAAATATTTAAGATTATTTCATTAGAACTACCTTAGTTAACAGTGAGCTGATTAGTGCAACTTTTTATGGCAATATTTAACATCAGTATTAAACAACGTATGATGGCATTACACATATTATAAAAATATTTTTTCCAAAGAAGATTCAAATGGAACTACAGATTATTAGTAAGCTACTCTTTCTACATACTTTTCCCTTTTTGATACAATAAAAAAGTAGATATATAAATATACTGAAAGTATATTGCATGCAGTATACTGCAATTCAAGTTAATTTTTTAGTTGACACAGTATGTTGCAACATATTTAAGCATGACAAAGGAACAGTGCATGATTCTACATACTATCCTAATTTAAAGGTTATGGTTGGAAGTCCAAGTTAGAAAGGTATTCAGTATAATTGTTCAGACAAATGTGTTACAAACTCCCACATTTTTTCTTCTCGTATTCATGTAAATATGAAAGGACATACTTTTAAGAATATACAAAAAAAGGTACAAATTCTTTTTAGACAGAGTTCCTTTCTCTAGAGTACATGAAACATGTGAAACAAAACTGCATGAGAGAGAAAGGGGATTTGGATGCCTGAAAAATATTTGGTAAGAGAAACTAATCTTCAGGCTAGCTAAAGTGCCGAGGTAACAGGCCGCTGTCAGACTATGTTACAAGCACTGAAAGCGTAACAACAGTTTAAACATTCAATACAATTCCTTTTCATAAAATAATCTGATGTGTATTTACAAGTTTAGTACAATAGAAACACAAAATTGTAAGGCATAATAATAATTCTTGGCAGACAATGCTATGACACATTCTTTTGACAAAATAGGTACCAGGTGGTGATAAATATTCTGGCACTTCATTGGATTTTTGCTTTGTTTGCTTTTAAAATTCATCTTCATTTGCAACGTAATCTGGCCACCAGGTATGCAATGCTCAGAAACAGCCACACAATCAGTAAATTGGGGCTTAGAGCTAGCAAAGGAATAGAGTAGAGAAGACTGGGGTCTAGCCTGAAATCCCGGATGGGCACCAGGCCACACAAGTTCTTCTGGGTGACTACCTCCCGTGTTCCAATACTGTGAAAAGGAAGAAGTTCGGGGAGAACAGAAAATAAGAGGAAGAAAGAAACACACAGACATGCAATGGATGTACCCAAAAGATATGCCATGCAACAGGTGTACCAAAACAACGACAAAAAGAAAACCGCACGGTGGCAAAGTAAGAAATAATATAGGGAAGAGAAAAAATGTTGAAGAAGCCACAACAGAAAATAAAACACGTTAAGTAAAAGAAAGAAAGAAGTAGGTGTGCCAATTTTAAATAATAATAATAATAATAAAAGGCACAATTACAGAATAAAGGAGAGAGAAAGAGAATAAAAAGAGAAAATAAGAAAGAATACTGTAGTCTACTGAAAAGAAATACATGTAGGTTGAACAACAATGGTTTTCCATGTTCATTTTCTCATTTGGCCAAGCAATGTCCCATGCTACTCTGCCATGCTTCCACATGCTGCAAAGAAATGGAGCTCTGAAAAGAAAACTGAACATGAATAACCATTATAGCATTTGACCCTTTCAATAAGTCTTCAATGAGAATTGTACTGAATTAATGCAACAGCCTAGTTACTAAATACAGGCACATTAAAAATATTTAGTAGGTTCAATCTAAAATACTTTTTAAGGCATTAAAAAACTGATGAGCGTGAAAATTGGCCTCTTTCTCAGCAAAAAATGCTACCTGCTAAGAAAGGATGACTTGTCCACCAAGGATTCTTCATCCACCCTATACTTGTGACAATAATTTTGACTGGTCAGTTTTATTTTACATTTTCAAAACCAAAAAAGGAATTTTAGCCTTTTAGGTTCAGATGGTAAGTACCCCTACCCCTCAGATCTGACCACTGTTGCTTCGTTGTTCATGATTTAGGCTGAAGACAGATGACATCACCACTATAAAAGATTGAGGTGTGTGTGTGGGGGGGTGGAATTTCCAAATTATTTATCTCCCCCCTCTTGCAATTTCTTGCACGCCTCCAGCTAGTCATTCTATCTAATTAGTGAACTGGCTGGCCCTACAGGAAGTAGATAACAAAAGCATAAAAAACAGACACCCAAGAACAGGACAGGGGTCTCAGCAGACTCCCCAGGTGGTATGCAGAAAATATGACTTGTTGGCCTGATGAGAACTGAAAATGCTCCAGATGGGCAGAATGCTGAGAGAAGCTGGGTGTCAGCTCATTGGACAAAAAGGATGGAAGGACGATCAACTGCTCAGGGCTCTGAGGGCACAGAAATTTTTTTTTGGGGGGGGAATTCCCAAATTGTTGTCCCCACAGTTCCTTGCCAGGTTCTCAAGTTGTAATTATAATTATAACAGTAAGCATTAGATTAGGGTATGTATGTAAATATACTACCTTTATGCAAAAGACAGCTATTTTGCAACTCTGGATCTGAAAGCTATGTTCATTTCATGCAATACATATTAACTTTAGTTTAACCTCTGTCAAACAGCCAGCTAGCAGCTATTTTAATAGTGTAGCAAGATCTTTTCAAAAATTATCTCTTCAAGTCTATGCTAGCAAGGCAGAGAATCAAGCCAAGGTATGTCTTCTTGCTCCATTTTTGTTCGTCTGTGTTAATTATGAAATTTGAATTGCAAGGGAATGCCAACACTTACATGTTCCAAATTTTGTTATGTATGAACGTCCTCAGTTCTCCTGGGTGTTCAAAACAACATAATGAGAAGGAACTTTCCCCCCAGTGTGGATCAGGGCTGAAGATACTAAATGCAATCCAGCCAGTGTCCAGCACTTTCAACACAGAATTGGTTTTAACATAAAATTACCAAAATTGGGGGAATTAAAAATTACAAACCATAAAATACTACCGAAAAATTAATGAGAATACAATTGGACATGTTTCACTATTCTCATATTTTGGCATACTATATTCTGAATTTGGTAGCTGGTTTAATCATACTTCAGTTGCACTCGGTGGGATTCAACCTCGTGAAATCCTATGGGCTTATGGACAAGCTTCAGAAGGCAGAAATATGAACATGTCACTGGCGACAAATAATTTTTCCACAGACCATTGAAGATTCAGAAAAGGTCAAATAGCAAAGACATACAGAAAGGATAAGAGAATTGAACACTTCAGAGAATTTGGTGAGAAGACACACAGTACAATCAGCAAGAGTGAATGCTGAAAACAGAGGACTCCACAGTAGTGCTGAATCACACCGATAAAAGACTGAAACTGGATTTCTTATCCTTTCTCTTTTTTTTTGGTATGCGAAACTGGCGCTCTCCAGCAGTGCTTGAAACAATGTATTGGACAACAGTAAACAGATTCGTTTTTTTAAAAAAAAACACACAAGATAATTTAATTTTGAAAACACGTCTGCTGCTTCAAAAAACAGAAGTTAAACTGGTATGACAACAGTACACTTGACAGGTTGTGATGGGTTTTGACTGCTGCATCATGAAACATTCATAATGACAGTTTGCTGAAGGAACAAACTGTATTGCCATTGAAAAGTAAGCATAGCAAACCAATGCAACCTGCAGATGCGTATCCGTCACAAAGCAGGTAATTACACAAATCACCTCTAAGGAAATGGTGCAAAACAACAAAGTGGCAACCAAGGTAGTATCTCAGCTTACAAACTTTTGAACTGGCAGATCAGAGAAGATTGTCTGCTTTGCAATTCCTTTCTTTTATCTTGGTAATTGTTCAGTAAACTGACAAAAAACTGAACTTACTCACTAGGTTCATCTTTGAATGGTTTTTAAAAATGTAAATGTGGCAGTTCTTCATCTCAAACATATTAAGTGAGGCCTAAAGGATATCAGGCAGCTGTGGTGCGGGCAATTTACCATCCTTAACATATTTATCATATGATTCTACCTATCAAAGACTGAGTCACCCATCTGCAGTTTACATGGCTCCAGGAGAAGGAACAAGTAAGCCGACCAGTTCTTACCTCCGCATGCATTCCAGGGCCTGCGTGAAGACCTGAGGAGCCATTCCATGCTCATGCTGTAATATTAAACACTGCTCCAGAGTCACCGACATGGCAGTCCTATCCTTGGCACTTTTACAGCTTGTAAACCGAACTCCATTAAGTCTGCGGCAAATCTGGAAAAGGGTATCAGCTTTCAGTCTTCTTTGCAATGCCAATAGAGAATACAGCTATTCCACAACTACTAAGGCAATAAGCCATATGGACACTGGAATGAGGATTGGGCATAGTTTGGTAAGGACAGCATTACATTGTGGTCAGCTGGGTTGCTTTCCTTGGGGGAGATTTCCACTAGCTTCAGGTGAACAGGTAAATGGCAAACTGAGTGGCCAGTTGCATCCATCAAAGTACTGTTGTAATGAAGTAACAATAAATACCTCAGCAGCTTGCCAAAGAATATCAACATTCTTATTTTTCCTTGCATGTACATTCTGTCCCAGAAACCGCAGCAGTTCAGGCAGGCACGTTTGACTACGAGATCGAGGTAGACCTTGAATTTAAAAACAAAAACTAAGCAGTTACACTCCTCCTCCTTAATGGTCAGTATTTATGCAGGTATATGTTGTATCATGCATGAAAATAAACACTTAGCAGGTCATATTTTCTGTAATACCTTAGAGGTTTTATAGATATGAACAATTGTGAACTAGATTAAGTTACTACCAGTGGATAGATTTAGTACTCCCAGAACTAGAGTACTGGAAACTATACCAATTTACTGGTCTTTTGATTATATATTAAACACCTACATTTAAACATGAATAGTTCACGACACATTACAAAAGAAATTGCTGGTGGTGGGGGGGGTTGTCTTGGAAGTATCTGAATCCGGAGAGATCTTAAGTTTGATTTTTATCAGTTTTGCGACATGCAGAAACTGATATTCCTTTTCTTCACTGAGGTTCAAACTACACAGGATGGTGACAGACACGTTTATGCCTAATCTGCCCCAATCATGTATCATGCCACAGTGGGATGGCATTTTAAGAACTAAAGGAGGGGGGGGGAGGTGAGTAGGAAGCGCTCAGCTTCCCCCTCTGTCCGCAATGTACTTCACCAAAGTCTTCCCACTGATGGCGATTCCAATGCCAGCCCATCTAGGAGAAAGGTGTGTGAGGTGGGGGAGGATGTAGTGGGTGAGAGGGTTCCACGCTCCTCACGATCCTTTGGCTTAAAATCACATCATCCCTCACTCCAATTTATATATTATTTTTAATGTTTGTTTATTTAAGAAATTAGACTTTTAGACCTTACATACAAGGCTCAGCGTGAACAACAATATAAAACACATTCATAAATCAATAAAACAATTGAAACAAAAACAATTTAAGATAATTCAAAACAGTTTCAGACGGCACTAGAAATAATCCAATTATACAGTTACCCCCCCATGGGGGGGAGAGAAAGGAAGGGCCAGGCAAGATGTAGACCCGTTCCTCTCCTCAACCATAGGCCCGGCGGAACATCTCTGCCTTACAGGCCCTGCGGAACGGCATAAGGTCCTTCAGGGCACTGATGTTATTCAGCAAAGAGTTCCACCAGGTCACGGGAATACCAAGTTTTCAGGTTCACGGGAATACCAAGTTTTAACAACAGGACTTCAACTGTGACACAAAGTTTGAGCCTCTGTACACTGCCAGTCCTTTAAATTATACCAGTGTGCCATGAAACTGAGAGAGGACCAATCTCCCCCTTGTCTTTTATTTAAATAACTTTAGCCGAAATCCTATCAATCCTTCCTTGAGTACATCAAGGACTTGCTGAAATCAGAATATCCCAGTGCATTCAGGAAGCACTGGTTGTTGACCTTTGCAGTACTTGGGCAAAAATGTTTTACAGAAATCTCACTGCTTAAGTGAAACTCCCAACATACTGGATATGAATTTATACTTACAATCTTCAGGCAAAACTTCTTTGAACTGCTCAAAATAGGAATTCAACCGCACTAAACTTTCCATGTTAATCATTTCTTGTAAAGAGGTGTCCCCAAACCTTTAAAGATCAAATATGGCACATTAGTAAATAAATAAATAAATAAATACTTTTTTCTCCCCAAGCTCAGTTCCAAACTGTGAAGACATTAATTACTACTGGTTGGTAGATTCTGTACTCCAAACACTTAAAATCTGTACAATAATATTCTGGAAAACTCTACCAGGTCACTCATATAGGATTCAGTGATAGATACCCACCACTGGCACAAAGGTCATAGATGATCAGTACTTAATACTACCTAGGCCAGATCCTATACAACAGAAGGATAATAAAGGTGAAGAGGAACCCACATAATGAGAATAGTAAATGACCAATATTTATTAAAGAAAGAAGAATGCTTGAAACAGGTACTTGTCTTCACCCAACTTATTCCCAAGCCATCATCTGGATAATCAAGAGGTAATTAACTGGATTCTCCTATGAATTAATTCAATATACTCCCAGTGCCCGAATGAATTATTTAACCACACTTAAACACAAAGCATTTTAAAACAGAATTATACGTACTTCTCTGCTAAGGTTTGTTGTTCGTTGATCCCCACATTGAAGAGTACAGGCTGAACTCTCAGTAGCATGCCACTCTGAATCTCACGGGGCAGCGCATCAAATAAGGTGCTCGGCAATGGAATTCTCACATTAAACCCATCACTAATTGAAAGCAGAATTTAAAAAGCATGTTTAACGGGACTGGTAATTCTGAACACGTAGAAAAGGACAGGATGGAATAGGGCTCTTATACTGGCCAAACCAGCCACCTCTCATAGTCCCTTTAATATTCTTTGACATATGTTTGGCAAGATCAATTTCCAGTAATTTTTTGTTTCTATAATAAATGAACATAGAGTAAAGGAGCACAACTTATTCTCTGGATGCTGTGATTCTTGTACTTCAAGAAGGTTATTGAACCTCTTCAACAGCCATGGGTTTGACAAATTCTGAGCTTATCTGCACATTTGGTTTTAAGGATTTTATTTATTTATTTAATTCAGTTTATACCCCGCCCTCCCTGCCAGGGCGGGTTCAGGGCGGCTTACATAAAATTTCATATAAACACAATTAAAACCCATCACAGACAAACATAACATAAATTAACAACTTAATAACATAAATTAACATAAATAAACATAAATAAAGTAATATAAATTAAATGTGGAAGCTTTGCTATTCAAGACAGAATCTCTTAAAATAAGACAGAATTCTAATGGAGGAAATAGCACTTAAGTCCAATGGAACATCAGTGGAAGACCCACATAGCCATGTCTTCCACTCCTATGTTTAAAGCATTGTTTTTCTCCCGCAGAACAATGCTAAACAGTCCAGTTTTTCTTCCCCCATTATCACCCATAATATTTTCCCTGCAAATGAACAGAGCTGTTCATATAGAGAGAACAAATATAACAAAACATTGGTTTTCGTACACTTTTCATAGCTGTTTTTGGTTGTACACATGAATTGATCAAAACTAGCCTACAGAACTCTTCTATATAGAAGTAGTATATTTTTGCCCAGTTTGTTATTCAAATATTCTACCTTCATCAGGATTTGCTTTCACAATTTCTCCCTCCCACCAAGTTTATTTTTACCGATTTCCTGTAATGACTGGCAGCATGTCAGCAGACGCATTTGATGTTGCCTGAGTTACTTTAAATGTTACATTCCTTAAGTCCATTATCCCCACACTCATGTCTTCTAGCATGGCCAGCTCTTCGCCTAAGTGAAAAAGGGAGAAGAGGAATCTTTTGTTATACAGAAAAGGTGGAAATCTGCAAAACAAACTTAACTAAGGACTGAAAATGTTAAGTAAATGCACCCATAGAAGTACCTATATATTTAATGCTCTTATTCTAAGTAAAAACTGCTAATTTAAATTTTTGCACAAAGTCAAACTTGCAGGGGGGGGAAATCAGAATTTAATACTTTAAATTTCAAAGCATTTTAAATTCTGACTCTGAAATTTGATTTTGATAAGTACTCTAAATGAACCCAATCTTAACATTCTGATCCTAACCACTTTTTCTTCGAAGCAAGTTCCTTGGATTTAAAATTATCTTGTTTCCAAGTCAGTGTACCTAGAATCAGAGTATCATCCTTAGAGATTAATTTTAAAGGCAGCGATGTTAAAAGTACTCTTTGTGAAGCTCAATGTTTTCTTGAATTTGATTTATTACACAACCATGTGCGCACTTATAAACTGGGAATGTTGAAAAATTCAGTCTATTTGAATCCCCCCCCAAAACCTAATTCATATTAAGACAATTTACTCATGAAATCCCCCTCCCAAAATATGTCTCAGCTGCAAGTGACATTTTTTCCTAAAGTAGCTCATGCTAATCTGTCTGATACTTCATTCCTATTAAGGAAAAAAGTGGGCTACAATGGGTAAAGCCACTGTCACTACTAGAAACAAGGACAATTCAAAAAACTTTTAGAAACAAGGACACAATTCATAGAACTACTTGAAGTGCATCAGATGGCACCTTGTACAATTTTTGACATCTTAAAGAAACTCCAGAGGATTCAGAGGTGCCCTTCTCCAAGTGGCAGCCACTTCTGTTCACAAGGAAGATGGGGGCTCCCACAGTATTCACAGATCTTCCCCACCAGCGGTAGCCTCTTATGCAGTTGCCTACCTACACTGTTCCGAAGAGTCCTTCGACCCTCAGGCGCAGCTTCACGGTAAGCAGGATGCTGCACAAGACAGGAGGAGATGGGAAGGATCTGTTCCAGTTTGGTGTAGTGGTTAAGTGTGCGAACTCTAATCTGGGAGAACCGGGTTTGATTCCCCACTCCTCCACTTGCACCTGCTGATGTGACCTTGGGTCAGTCACAAGCTCTGGCACAGCTGTTCCTGAAAGAGCAGTTTGTGTCAGAGTTCTCTTGGCCCCACCCGAGGGGGGAAGGGAAGGGAAAGGGGAAGGGAAAGGAGTTTGTAAGCCACTCTGAGACTCCAAGTGAAGGGCGGGGTATAAATCCTCCTCCTCCTCCTCTTCTTCTCCTTCTTCCAGTGAAGGTCTGCTTGTGTGTCTGTGAAGACAGCAGCTCCCTAAAAACCCTTCTAACGTTTTAAAAAATTGTCTTTTATGTAAAACAGAGAGGAAAACTGCTCCTCTAAAAGCCCCATTGCTCAGAGCTACTTGTGACTTTGAACTGTACTACTCAAAGTCATATGTTGTTTTATTTATTAGTTTAAAATGTAACTATGTTTCATAGTTCCAGTTCAAACTCTTTTGTTGATAAATAACAGGGCATGTATAATCTTATATGTACACCTTTCCAAAGTGCTGGACAGAGAGAGAATTCAGTGATTCCGAAATGACCCGGCAGGCTTACTGGTGGCACAGGGGGAAGGGGTTGTGGGTGGGTTGGTTGGTCTTTACCGTAAGTGCTCAAAAGGCTTTCAAACTGTGCCAGCAGGCCAATGGTGTACAGCTGTCTCAGGAATCCGTCATCATGCAGGCAGTTCCTCAGCTTGATAATGAAGCCACAAATAAGGGCTGTCAGCTGCAAAAGAGAAAATGGAAACGATATACTTGAAGGCCGTTGCCCAAGGCATTCAGAACTCTCATGTCACTTGGAACACATTAAGTGCAAAAGCTTCTGTGGGTTTTTAATGCATTTGGTGTTAAAACAAGAAGCTTTCCAGCAAAAGAACCTTGGGAATGAAACTGAGGCTCCTTCCACATTGGGGGTGTGTGTGTTTTTCCTCTGCCTTGGCTTCCAAATGGGAGTAGTTTTTTAGGGGGAGGTTTTAGCTTCTGCTATGACCTCGTACTGTAATCACCATGTTTCCAGGATTTCCCATTCCATATATTTTTCTCCAGACCTGCTTTTGACAAGAAAGCAGTCCAGGCACATTAGAACATCCTATGGAAGGAATAGTATGCCTTTTCATGCCCTGTAAAAATCCTGCCCACATTGATGCCATTTTCCCAGCATTTTTTTTTTTGCTGTTGCCCTGGTGTACAACCAAAGGTCTTTTTGAGTCTTTAAAAAGAAACTGGCAATTGCTATACTGCTATAATGATCTATTGCCACATATCTATTTCAAATTTTAATAACACCCTCATAAAGCCTGCATGAAGAAAAAAACAAAAAAGGGAACATCAGTCACCACAGTACCCATGACAACCACACCCCTGAGAGCTAATGTGGATTCAATGTGAAGCACATGTGGAAGGGGAAAGTCAGAAAAAAAGATGGAGGAGAAAGCACAGCAAACTCCCATGTGTGGAGGCACTGCCACTAACGTGCACGCCTCTGTATTTGCAGCAGCAAGTCAAATATTGCATATGGTGGCATTCAGGTATGAGTAATTGGGTGGGGTGGGGTGGGGTGGGGGGTGGTACTCAGGAAACAATCCTCAGTGCTCAAGAAGTTCCTAAGAATGTTTTCCCCCTGTGCAGTGATAGGGTAGGAGTCCTGGTGCAGTTGTTCTGAGGATGGCTGTCATGACCAGGCCACGGGTTTTACATCTCCCTAGCATCCTTCATTAACAGATACTCTTCTTTTCTACAAAAAGTGTAATTCTGTTCTCTGTCACAGCCTTCAAACTCAATCTCTCATATTCACATATACACGCCAGGTCTAACTAATTAGTACATCACCACTCTCTTGCTTACGGTTTGGCAAAAAACAACATCCCGACGATACTGAAGGCTCAAGCAAAGCGCTATTGTAGGTGCGCTATCCTGCATCAAGAGAAAGACCATCGCTTTCTTTGCCTTATCGCTCATCATGGCCACACAGTCTGTGAGCGTTGTCAGCAGTGGGTAAAGAGCCTCACTCCATTCACCTACAGTGTTGACAAGGAAAGAGTCAATCAGCAACAAAAACCTTGGGCATTTTTATAATCATCTTTTAAGAAAGAAACATTCTAACATAAACTAAGTGAAAGCTAACTGTAAGGAAGAGACCGACTTCTGTAGAACTGAATGATGGCAGGAGGGGGAGGATCGACCTTGCAAGTAATTGCAGGAACTGCTGGGTTCTCAGCTTTGCAAGAGCTGCAGAACTGAGATATCTTAATTAACAGCTGGACTGGATAATTATTGTTAATTAAGGTTGCCTTTTTCTGTTTTCTGATAATAAAATAATTTTTGCCTGATTTGCTGAACTGGAGCGTAGAGCCTGAAGCTGAATATTCTAGCAGAGAACCCAAAGCCTGCATCCTACACTAACCCTAGTTAATGTTAACCAACACTGGTACCAATGCCAGACTATGGTTAACACTGCCAAAGGGAAGGCAGCATGGAATTTCACACGGGAGGAAGGAGTGACAGCCCACTTCTGCTCTCTCTGCCACAGATAAGAGCATGATGTTTGCACTAGATGGAAGGATGACTATCAGTATCAAAAATTTCTCATCACGTCAGATGTTCATTTTGCCAAGAGGACCTTTTTCATTCTCTCCAAAATGATATACTGGATGCTTCAAAAAATGAATGTAACACAAGGGAGTGAGAAATAAACTCTAATGTTTGAGGTATAAGGACTGGGAAAAGCTATTCTAGCACAAGTCACGCTGCTGTAATCAGAGAAGGACAAGCTGGCACCTGGCTTGCAAACAGCAATATAATACACAATGGAGAATTTGAAATGAACCATAAAAATATGCATAGATCTGACTGGATTTTAAAATGAGGGCTAAATTTGGATTTTTGTTTTTTTGTTTTGTTTTATTCATTTATACCCCAACCCTTTTCTCTAATCAGGACCCAAAGCGGCTTACATCATTCTCCTCTCCTCCATTTTACCCTCATAACAACCGTCTGAGGTGCGTTAGGCCGAGTGTGTGTGACTGGCCCAAGGTCACCCAGTGAGCTTCCATGGCTCAAGTGGGGAGTCAAACTGAGTCTCTCCGATACTTGTCCAATAGTCTTAAACACTACACCACACTGGCTCTTTTATTTAAAATTGCTTGAAAATAATTTCAATAGTTTAAAAATGATTTAAAACAATTAAAGACTAATGAACATTTCCCGCTCTTTCTTTTTGTTTTAATCACCAAGTCAAGTTAATTCAGTCCCTTCCCCATGCCACAAAGTTAGCTCCTTCCCATCTCAAACTATTCCATTTAGTCTGAATAATATTACGGGAAGAGACTAGAGGTGTGCATTTGGGATCTACCTGCGATGAAAATATACCCGAAAAATACCTTATCAGTACTTTTCGGGTATATTTTCGGCTTCCCAAATGTATCCAGGTTTTCTTGGGAAAACAAAACAAACAAAAAAATCCTGGGAAAATCCCAGATACATTTGGGAAGTTCAGGTAGATCTGAAAACAGCAGAGAAGGAAGAGCAGATTGCTCCCACCTTTCAGCTGTTTGTCAGGCAGGCTTAGGCAGTCCCTCTAAACTTTAAAGGGACTACAGAAACCAGACCAAGGATCAGCTGGGTTGGTGGGGAAGTTGAGAGCTCTCCACCGGCGCAGCTCTGCACGGCCTTCTCCTGCCGCCCAGTTTAAACCAGGCAGCAGCAGGAAAGGGCTGTCTAGCCAGGACTGGCTATGCCCACAGGGAGCCAATCGCTCTCTGCCAGTGCAGCTCTGCACTACCTCCTCCCTCAGCAATGTTTAAACCAGACGGCAGGAGAAGCCAAGCCAGCCCCCAGGATCAGGCTGGTGTTTTTTTACCGGCATTTTTTGGTTCGGGTCTATTGGACCTGAAAGATTCTGGATCTGAATACCATACTGGCATTTGGATTCGGGATTTTTCAGAAATCCTGAATTTTTTTCCAGGTCCAATAGACCCGAACCAAAAAACAAAACAAAAACCAGTTAAAAAAAAATGCGCACCCACAAACGTACACTTTGCCCAATGTCTCCAGGCAACAGTATTGTGAAGGACATGTGACTGTAGAGACTGCCGGGCCCTGGAGAGGTGCTTGCACAGTTGGTCAGCAAACCATTTTTCTGACTCTGACGACCAAGGCAGTTCCTTATATACTGTATTTTAAAAATGACTAGAAACTGTGTTCAGTCTTTACTTGGTCAGTAATAAGAGGGCATATATTTTGCTTAAGGAACTTGCAGATATATATTGTCATTATTTTTAAAGACACAATGTTCTATTTTAACAAATTTTATTGCAGAGGTAGAACAAAACATTTCTACCATCCTAGAAACTAAGCCACTACCAGTGTGTGCCAAATAAAATGGGATGAACTAAACTGAGTTAGAAAAGGGTCACACTTCAGGTATCGGAATGTAACTAGAACTGACTTTGATTAAAGCTTCAAGGAACGACTACTTCAGTTTCCTTGACAGCCATCCAAAAGAAGGGCAATTACGGAAACTGATTTTTTAAATATCATAAAGCAAAGAGACAGTTTAAATCCATATTCCATCACGTAGATAGAGAATCACACAAAATAAATTCAGGAAGATTATTTGGCTCTATTTCTCAGCACACAGTTAGGATTACTTTAACAACAGGAAAGCTCTTTTCTATGAAACATTTTCCAAAACAATCTGATCCTCTAAAAGAGATATCTATCTTTGCAATGAAAAATAAAGACTATTCTTTGACAAGTGTGTTTGCTTTGAATAGCTTTACACCGGAAAAAATTAAGGCTTTTTGGGGAAAAAATCAACTAAGAACAGTCAGAGATTGCTTTTCCATCGTGAAGAAATTAATATTTATTTTAAAAAATCCTGACAAATGGACAGAAATTCTAAGTAATTATAGTTAGTACCTGGCAACATGCCTAAAACAAATGAAAACTCTCACTTCCCTTGCTCGAAAGTTAGTCGAATCCGACTCTAGGGGGTGGTGCTAATCTCCATTTCCAAGCCAAGGAGCCAGTGCTGTCCAAAGATGTTTCCATGGTCATGTGGCCAGCATGACTAAACACCGAGGTGCACAGAACGCTGTTACCTTCCCACCAAAGTGTACCTATTTATCTACTTGCAATTTCTTGCTTTCGAACTGCTAGGTTAGCAGGAGCTGGGCCAGAGATGGGCACTCACTCTGTCACACGGCACTAGGATCTCGAACGGCCGAACTACAGACCTTCCAGTCTGCAGCTCAGTGTCTTAACCTCTAAGCCACCGTGGCCCTCACTGCTCTTTAACTACTAGCAGATACAGGGAAGTTAAGTGGGGGACAGATAACATCGGCCTTAACCAATCAGCAGCTATTTTTGACTGCCTTTCTTATTGCCTTATTTTTGACTGCCTTCACATCTTTACAATGTGTCAACGATAAAACATTAAAAAGACATTAAAGACAGTGTTTCCTGCCCTCAAGGTTCCAAACCTACTAACCTGACAGCAAAATACACATCTCAGTGGAATATCGTGCAACTTTAGCAAATCTCCTTTGTGTTAAATGCAAACGAAAGCACTGTTTGCAGATTATTATTTTTTTGAAGCAAAAGGCATGATCGTGTAAGAAAACAGAACACACATACCTGGGCTTGACTCTTCAGGAGTAGGACTGCAATCTGCACAAAAATGGAGGTGCAACATGCATGATTAAGGGGCAGCAACACATTTTAAACACAGGCAACTGCAATGCTCAGTACAGGGATTCTCAAACAGTTTTGACCCACTGGACTACCACTGCAGGCAGGCTGCCGCATGGATCACTTCTCCTTCTACTTGTGTCCTACTCTGCATACACTGGTCATGAGGACGTTATGCCAAGCACAAGAATTCTTTTGGAAACTAGAAGTCGGATCCTATGTAGCAAAAATGGAAGGGACTCATGAACACGGGTCTCCCCATCCTGATCCCCATTCTCCAGCAGCCTCTTTCTACCCATGAAAATCTGATGCCAGGGGGCTCAGGGGACCTGAGCACATAAAAAGCCACAAGAGGCTACAGGAAGGAGGACAGAGTGGATGGAATCACTTCTCTCTCTGATGCCAGTGGAGCCTCTTGTACCAGCAGGTGGTGGATGAGCCAGGAGGAGTGATTTTGCCCGGTTCACTTGCCTCCATGCAGCCCCCTCCGTCCATGCTGCTTTTTACTTGAATGGGCACCCCAATCCCAGGCATCAGCTTTTCCCAAGTTCAAAATGGACTGCTGTGGTAAGAGGAATGTCCCTTTCCTGCAAGTGTCTTGCACTTCGTAGGATTCAGGTCTAGGAGGAGAAGAGATGACCATGGTGGACAAAAATAAATCTCTGTGGTGAACCAGCAGCTGCTGCATGAGAGACAAAGACAGTTTGAGAACCTCCCGCTTAATGGCTTGCATTAAAGCAGCTAAACAGAAGAGCAGGACATTAACAACACATGTAAGGTGCATAAAGTAATCTAAGGTACATGTTTACACATGACATCTTTAAGGTGTAAGGTGTTTTACGCATACACCCAAAAATGCCATGCTTGTGAACATATGTATCTTATACCTATGCTTATCAAGGAGCAAAGACTGACCGTGACGTCTCTAAGGAATACATACTCTGTGACAAGCCCATATCAGTGTGTGCAACATATGAGATTATCCTGAGGTTCATTGTATTATTTTAGAAATGTCCAGACCATATTTTACAGAACTGCTGAGCTTCAAAAAAAAGGTTTAATCCTATTTTCATTAATATGAGTAAAAGGGATGCTACAAAAAAAAACCAAAACAAAACACAACCCCTGGAAGCCCACGTCCCACTGAATAATCTGCACACCATACAGGAGTATGGAGTACGTCATTTCTTTCAGCAGCCCTTCCCGTCAATGCCAGGAAGCACTTTTAAATTTCCTCAAGTTTAGAAAGCAGTTTGAGGCAATGGAGGAGAGCTGTGGCTCTGGAATTTCACCAGCCACACTATTTTTCAAAAACATTCCCATGTTTTTGGGTCTATGGTGGGAGGGGAGTGGCAAGGAAGCTGCACTCCACAGAATTCTGCAGAAACACTCTGGGAGAGCCGAAGCCTATCGGCCAAGCAAAATCAGAACCTGTGTTTCATAACCTTGTTTCCTCTCTTGGACTATTTATATTTTTTCACACCTATAGGTAAGATGGGTACCAGCTAGTGGCAAAATATCACTTTGACAATCTTGGTAACTAATATTAAACACTGTATTTGCAGTAGCAATGTATCTGAAGCTCCTTTGATTGCAATTTAAAAATGTATATGAACACACACAGCAGTGAAATATAAAGACAAAGTAGATGCTAAGACATACTGATTCATCCTTTCAACAGTTCTCAACCAAAAGGTGATCAGAATATCTGATAAATCTACAGAGAATACTGCCACATAATAATGCTGTTATTACTATGTTCTATTCTACTGTTCCACGCTATATAACTGATAGATATCCGTGGGCTGAATTTTCAGAAATCAGTTTCCCAAGTGTTCAATACACCTATCTGATGAACAAGACCACAGTAGACTTTAACAACTACTGACAAAAATAAATTAATTTAAATTAATTTAACCAGTATCTGGTAAAGAAACAAATATATTTATCCAGTAAATACACACACACACACAAATATATTCATACAGAGGGGTCGTTTCATAGAAAAAGAGCTAGGGGAACTCATTAGCATAACTCATTAGCATATGCCACACCCCCTGACATCACCGGAAGTGTGTCATAAGGCCACACCCCCTGACATCACTGGAAGTGTGTCATAAGGCCACACACACCCCCCAACAGTCCTGGCCGCCACCGGCGGCCTTGCAGCTCCACTGCCGAGCCCCATGAGGGGCCCGGCGGTGGACCTGCAAGGCCGGCGGGAGTTCAAGGAAGCCCCGCGAAGGCCCTCCCTGGCCCCAGGCAGGCAGGGGTGGGGAGAGGCAGGGAGGAAGCAACTTACCCTCCCTCTTCTCCTGCCTCCTCCTGGCTAAATGAGGGCCGGAAGCGGGGCGGCCGGAAGCAGGGGGCGGGGCTTCGTCATGTGCCCCGCCCCCCATACCTCACCCGCAGGAACTGCGATCCCCCCCGAAATGACCTCTGTTCATACAGAAGTCATTCATAAAAATCAAGTTCAATTTTTCTTCAAGTAGAAAAGGTGCTATTAATGTTCATATTACACAAGCCATTTCATACAACTCTTGATTGTAGTGTTTCAATATATAGAGTTAAAGTTATGGATTAGAAGACCCAACAAATCACACTCCATTCAATTTTACAGCAAAAATGGCAAAATAAACATTAATTTTCTTTCAAGTGGAAGTATTGCATATTCAACTACAATAGTATGAAATGACTGTGAAATTACATATAACATGTTGTTGTAATAAGAAATAGAAATGGAGAGAGGGTATGCAAAAGAAAGTTTTTCATCTCCTAAATCATGTTATGGTAGGAAAAAATGATTCTGAAATATCATGCATGCAACATATGGAACGTACTGATTTTTCAACACTGTGATACTGTTTTAATATATTCTACTACTGAAGGTTACTTATAGTTGTGACAGGGCAGTTTGACACACTACAACTGCTGTGAGAAAAAGCACAGTGTTACATTTATGGTTTCTGTAGCAAATATGTACTGTGTTGACATGACATGTACTCTAGTGTTTCAAAGATGGTCCCGAGACATCCAAATCTGCTGTGGGAGATACAAGAACACCACCTCTGATTTCTGCAGGAACTGTCCTGTTCAGAAATGCCATTTCCTTGGCTCCATTTCCCAGAGTGCTTTCTTTCCATTCAATATGCTGCTTTCTCAACAGAAAATACTGGAATGATCCTCTGCTTTCTTCCCTTCAAGGATAATGCTAGATGAACAAGCCAATCTTAGATCACATTTTCTTGGAAGAGTTGAATGGCCCAAGCTAGCCCGATCGTGTCAGATTTCAAAAGGTAATCAGGGTCTACCTTAGTTAGGATTTGGATGGGAGACCACCAAGGAAGTCCAGGGTTGCTATGGAGAGGCAGGCCATGGCAAACCACCTCTGGTAGTCTCTTGCCTTAAAAACCCTATGGGGTTATGTCTTTAAGTACTCATGTCAGAGGTGGAGATCTAGAAATCTCAGAAAAACTTATGTGAGCAGGGATTTCCCTTTTCAAAGTGAACAGTGTTCATGCAGCTCTCCATATTTCTTCTTTCAACCTAAGTACACAAACAATGTGTGTGAATAGTGACGTGCTCAGGTATGCAGACAAAAATAACACCTCAACTATCTTACCTAACAGCATATTCAAAAGCATGTAGCATCTCTTGCCCTGCAAATCAGTGGCTACCACGGGCCACATTCCCATGGTATTTGCATGGGTTCAGTTATGGAACGGTAGCCCTGCCCCTCTGTTTCCAGTGCCAGACTGAAGTGTCCCACTGATCTGCTTTCTGCTCCGTGGGATTGTGTGTGTGTTTGTGTGTGTGTGTGTGTGTGTCTGTCACAGAATTCTGATGGAATTCTGTACTATGCTCCTAATAAAGATTTAAAGCCCAATCAAATTCCAGGATTCAGTTCAGATGCTGTACTATGGCCAACTCTGGGAACAGCACTAGATGCAAAATATATATGCACGGGTCCCTAACAGTGGAGCCAACTCTGGCACCACAACCTCATTTCCCCACCAGATTATGAATTGGGATACTGAAGTACAAAGGGATACAACAAGGTCTGAATGACTAACATAATCTCCAAGAAGTATGCTTAGGTAACAACTTCCTACACTTCAGGTTGGGTGCTAAAGTGGCCCTCAGTTCAGCCAGTCATGTATTTATTTATTATTAGATTAGATTTACTGGGCCACCCTTCCGTAGGTAGGGCTCAGGGCGGTTTACAACAGAGTATTATACAAAAAAAAAATCTAAATTAAAAACAAGGTTAAAACCATCTAAATGAAGAACAGTAGATAAAAAGTACTCACAGGGTTGGCAAAGCATATAGGGCATACATGTACTAACAGGGTAGGCAAACCATACAGGACCCCAGCTTCTTCCCATCCAGGGAAAAATAAAATATCTGCCTACATTTCAGATTTTTTGGCAATGATTTCTGAGGTCTCAGAGGGAAAAAAGCGGTATAAATGCTAAATTACAGCTACATGAATGAAACCTAAAATTTAGAAACTGCACTGAAGCCTCACATTACTTTCGATACCCACCGGAATGTGGAGTGTCACAGGGGGTGATCCTCTCGCCAATGCTATTTAACATCTATATGCGCCCCCTTGCCCAGTTGGTCCAGAGGTATGGGCTGGGTTGCCATCAATATGCAGATGATGCCCAGCTCTATCTGTTATTGGAAGGCCATCCGTTCTCTGCCCCTGATAATTTGGCCGAGGCTTTGGAGGCTGTGGCTGGATGGTTGTGGCAGAGTCGGTTGAAGCTAAATCCATCGAAGGAGGAGGTCCTGTACTTAAGCCAGAAGGGAGGGGACACGGGTATCAGGCTCCCCACGCTGGAAGGGGCACCTTTGGTGCTGGCCCAGGAGGTGAAGAGTCTGGGAGTAACACTGGATCCCCCGCTTTCTATGGAGGCCCAGATTACTGTAGCCGCCCGATCTGCCTTCTTCCATCTTCAGCAGATTAGGTTGCTGAAACTCGATCTCCCCCCCCCCCAAGACTTGGCTACAGTGACCCATGCAATGGTCACTTCCAGGCTTGACTACTGAAATTCGCTCTACGCCTGCTTACCCTTGAGGCTGACGTGGGAATTACAGCTGGTGCAAAATGCTAATGGTGACCCCTATGTAGGGTCACGTTTGCCAGGTACTCTGCCAATTGCATTGGTGACCAGTAGAGTTCCGGATCCGCTTCAAGGTGTTGGTAATAACCTTTATAGCCTTACACAGCCTGGGACCAACATATCTGAGGGACCACCTCTTCCCGTATATGCCCCGAAGAGCACTATGCTCTATGGATGAACACCTCCTGGTAGTCCCTGGCCCAAAAGACATCCATCGTGCCTCGACCAGGGCCAGGGTCTTTTCCGCCCTGGCCCCTGCCTGGTGGAACATGCTCCCCATTGAGATCAGGGCCCTGTGGGATCAATTCCACAGGGCCTGAAAGATAGAGCTGTTCCGCCAGGCCTTTGGCTGAGGCAGTGGATGTCCATATATGGCCTCCCTGAGGTGTTTGTCACGCTGTTAACAACTACTGGCTATGGCCAGGAACCTCCCACAATCAGAAAATTTTCTTTGTTATCAACTGTGGCCACCATTTTGATATTTATGATGATGTTTTTAATTTAAATTTTATTGTATTAACTAATATTTTGTATAAATGAAGTGTTACCCACACTCAGCCCGCTTCTGCAAAAGGGCAGGCTATATATGTGAATAAATAAATAAATAAAATAAGAGACTGCAGAGACACAAAACTGTCAACAGACTGCCATTGGAAGTCTGACCAAATCCAGAATAAGTAGCCTGAGGAATCTTAATGTGACTTTCAGTGCCTGACTATGAAAATACTAATCATTTTACTTTATTTATTTTACAAAATGTATACCCAGCCTTTCTGCCCACATACAGGCCATCAAAGTGGCTAACAAATTAAAACATACATAATAAAATCACATCTTAAAAACCATTAAAATCAACAAAAATACATCACTAAAACAATTAAACCCAGAACTAAAAGACACACCAAAACATTAAAAAAAAAAAATTAGAACATTGGCCAGGAAGGATGTATCACTGAGGGAACACCAAACAAAGCAAAAAAGGCTTCATCCTCTAGTGGAAATACAAAAGACAGCTGAGCAAAGACCAAAACAGAAAATATGAAGCTCTCACTACCCCTTAAGGCCCTACTGTAAGCAGGATCCTATTATGTAATTTTTGTGCTGTTTAATGTGTCATGTGAATACTTCAGTTATTTCTGGTGGTTCCAGACTTCTAAAATCACAATGCACTGGTTTCTGAATGTCCCATTTGGTTGACTGTACCGACTCACTATGTGTAATCCACCTTGCGTCCTTGTGACAAAGGCGGAGCATAAACAATGTAAATAAATAAATCCCATCTCAAAGTTATTTACTTACTCTGTTCTAGCCCACCTTCCTCTACAACAGGGACTCAAAGCGACTTACAGAATTCTCCTCTCCTCCATTTTATCCTGTTAAATTTAGCAGTGTACGACCTGTTAAAAGATTTTCCCAAGCCAATCTATTTCAACACGAGCTCTGGGCCCCCGTTTTACATAAACAGGATTTTGTTACCCCTACTCCAGGGTGCCCCTCTCTGTGTTACAGTGGCAACACAGGCACTGGTTTTCCTCGGCTTCATTCCATGCTGCTGCTGTAGCATTTAAAGGCCTTGACACCATATAGGCAGGGCAAACTGCATGAGTCCTTATTGTTTGAACATAGCCACTGTCCCACTGTGCAACTGACTCCACCTATATGAAAGGAGGCCTTTGCGCATTTCAGCAGTGCCATGTAATGAAGCCAGGTCTAAGCTGGCTCAGGGCACCTGGCTGAAACACTAAAATGATTGTAGAGCGTAATGGAGAAGAGGCTAAGAAATATGCCAAGGCAGAGCAAAAGCAGCAGCAAGAGGCAGAAGAAGCCATGTCTGTCATACGCACTTGGAACTCTGGGACAATGGCATGCAGAGGATGATATGGATGAAGATGATGGTGGGGGTGACGAAGATGATGGTGGGAATGATGAAGATGAGGTCTCATTTAAGGCCTTTGGCTTTATCCAGTACACTCGCGTATCCTGTTTACCTTTCTTGCTAGAACAGCTGACATCACACTGGAAAACATCTTCACTGCTATCACTATGCAAACGCTCTTTCTGGAGAAGTTTGTCCACCCTCTGGATGATGCACTCAAGACTTTTGTCAACGTTCACCCAAACCTTTTCCTGGGAAAATGAGAGGGGGAAGAGGAAAGCAAACAGATGCCGTTTTGATTAAACATAAGAAAATTGATTAAACATAACATGGGCTGCCTTATTTCTGGTCTCACCTAAGGGAGAATCCTGAAGTGAAACAGCAGATGAAGTAGTTCAAAAGTTCCAAATGAAGCAAAACCAACACAATGTTGGCCTGTGTCCAAAGCACACTAGCACTACCTTTTAAAGTCAACATTGCATTGGTATTAGTGTTCTTGTCTGAGGGGGGCATTTTATAGGTACATCATGAAATACAGTTAAAACGCTTAGATCCAGGTAGTCAGCTGTGTTGGTCTGAAGCAGTAGAAGAAATTTAGAGACCAATAGAAGATGGGGACGGCAAAGGATGAGATGGTTACACAGTGTCATAGATGCAACTAACATAAAGTTGAGCAAACTTCAGAGGACGGTGGAAGACCAGAAGGCCTGGCGTGATCTCGTCCATGGGGTCACGAAGAGTCGTTCTCGAATGTGTGACTGAACAACAACAACAAAAGCACCTTTAAGACCCACAAAGCTTTATTCAAGGTATGAGCTTTCGTGTGCAAAGCACACTTTTCCAAATACAGTGGGATGGGATGTAAGGTTGAACCTTACATCCCATCCCACTGTATTTGAAAAAGTGTGCTTTGCACACGAAAGCTCATACCTTGAATAAAGCTTTGTGGGTCTTAAAGGTGCCACTGGACTCTAAATTAATTAAAACTCTTGTTTTCCATTGTATTTCACAGACTGAAGCCTTTTAAATTTGGGTTCAGGTTAAAAGACAACTGTCCATTTTCAGTTCAACAAAGTGATACACTTTAGTTCCTTGTTAAAAAGAAATCATCATATTGTTACACAGTTGATCGCAGAAGCCAAGCTTTATGCTCTATTCATATTAGCAATGAAAAGTAGAGAGTGGAATTGCCCTTTCTGAAATATTTATAGCAGAGGTGTCAAATTCATTTGTTACAAGGGTCAGATCTGGCATAAATGTCACTTTGTCGGGCCGGGTCATGTGTGCCATAAAATGTAACACAAGGTACCAGGGGTATAAACCTAATAAAGATGATTTCAGATGCCAAATGACAATAGAAGGTGTGATTGGATTAGGTGTGATATGCAGAGGGGTAGTAGGAATAGAGATACCAGCACTAGTAATGAGACAGGAAACCTAGGTCTCAGTTTGGTACAGGAGGATTCAGTCCAGGAGGATGCAAAAAATAAATGGAAATAAGTATAAAGAAGTCAGCAGTGATTCAAAAAAGTTCATACCGTACCACAAATTTTCGATAGTCTAAGGTGCTACCGGACTCTTACTCTTTCTACTGCTATTAGAAACCACAACATTCAAAAACCAGTGGGGAAACATTTTACCTTCCAGGACATTCAGTTGCTGACCTAAGAGTAGCAGTTCTCTCACAAAGGAATTTCAAAGGGAGATTAGAAAGACTGCTGAATTGCAATTGATAAGGGAGCTCAAGACAATGCATCCTCCTAGACTGAAGTTCTTCTCTGTTCTTACCAATGCCTGCTATTGTCATTTGGCATTTGAAATCACTTCATTTTCCAAGATATAAGGACACGTGGACTCACCTAGCTGTATCTGAAAAAGTGAGCAGTAACTCATGAAAGCTCATGTTAAAATCAGTTAAAATCATGAAGTTTACTGTTAGAAAACTAAGTGCTTTCCCTGTAACAAAGACACAACTACTTGTAAGTCTGATTATATTTTTTCATGGTCTGTATGCATTACACTGATGGGGGTTCTGCGCCTGCATGGAATACAAAGATGACCACTCAAAGGACAACAGTTAGAGGCAAGCAACTTGGGGTTTTTTTCTTAAGCAAAATGATTCTACAGAAAGAAAAGCAAGGATTAACATTAGGGATGGGCACAAATCCAAAAACTCGAGTTCGGAGTGGTTCCAAAATTGAGCCAAAAATGCCTTGAACCAAACTGGCCAGTTCAGGTCCCCTTTTCTCTTGTAAAAGATAAAATAGGTTAAAAGAAATGATCCAAATATCAGACTCTTAAAATTTTTTACACACAGAACTGAAAGTTTTACATATACAATTGATGGGTATATCTTATGACCAGTAGACCATAAATTTAAATACTCTATGGCTAAAAAATATTTGTATAATTATACTATTTATACATTCTAACAATTATATAATTTCCACTTTAACATAGATCAATTTGGAGAGCATGTGCAGTTACCATGAGAGATTATCGATGGCCTACTATGTACAGTTTTAGCAGCTGCACATCACATGAGGTAAAAACAGCAAAAATTTTCTGGTATCTTAAAATGTTTTATTATGTGCATTTTTAATGTGCAATTGATATGTAATAATTTGGCTTTTTTCTCTCCCTTTTGACAATTCCAGAAAGCAACACCTGGCTCTAAAGAAAATCTTTGTTCATATATTTATTTCTGGATGTGTGTTCTTTTACAATAGTAATATTGGCCACTGAGGAAGGCCCTAAGGGGCTGAAAAACGTATGGTCTACTGGTCATAAGATATACCCGTCAATTGTTTACGTAAAACTTTCAGCTCTGTGTAAAAAGTTTTAAAAGTCTGATATTTAGGTCATTTTTAACCTATTTTATATTTTACTAATGTGTATGCCATAATATTTATATTTTTATAATAACTTATTTTGTTAGCTTGACCCTTATATATCACAGCCATATCTTGGGTTGAGTTCTCCCCCCCATTCCCCCCCTTTCTCTTGGCCATGGCAAGCTGTGGCTGGGAGAAAGGGGGGGAATCACCTGGGAAGGGTTAAATGGTTGGCTTCAAAGCAGGGGGAGTGAAATGGATAGGTTTAATGGCTGCCAGCCATTTAAACTAAGAGCAGACAAGCAGACCCACCCCACTGTTAGGTTTAAATGGCTGGCAGCCATTGGACTGGTTGGTTTTGCTTCCCCCCACTTCCAAGTGGGGGAAAGCGAAACTAACAAGTGAAACGGCTTGCAGTCATTTTAGCAGTCCATTTCACTTCCTCCCACTTTGAAGCAGGGTGAAGCAAAACTGACCAGTGAAACGACTCGTAGCCATTTAAACCTAACAGGTGAGCTGCAGACCTGTGCTGCTCAGCTGTTAGGTTTAAATGGCCCAAACACCCAAACTGGGCAAAAGTCCAGTAAATGTTCAAGGAAGGCGCCTTCCCTGAACATCAGTTCAGGGGCTCTGAACCAGGCCAAATTTGTGCCTGATTTTGGTTCACAAACTGATTTGTGCCCATTCCTAATTAATATACAGCTCTGTTTCCCAATTACATGAAAACCATCTAAAGCCTACCTGACTCTCAGGTATAGGGGACATCTCAAAGTAAGACTTACAGCAGTAATGGGATCCAGGCCTTCAGTCAACAAACCTACCCACTCTTCCTCATGCCAATCCACCTGCAGAGAAGATCGGCTATTTCTTCCTGTCCATCTGGCCACCAGAGTGTCCTGGTCATTCCTTAATACAACTTGTTCTTCTTCTGTAGAGGTTGGAGAGGCCTTTGAAGCTATATAATCTGGTCTAGCAGCATTCAGTGCATGGATTGAATTTGCCAAGAGTTTGCAATCACAGACTGTGACAAGCTGCCGCGTCTAGAGACAATAAAAATACATGCACATGTACTTCACATACCATTGTTTAAAGTAATTTTTTCCGTTTCAATTGTTTTTGCATGATCTCTGCATAAACTTGGTCTTGCTATAAAATATATAACCAAAGAGGAAATCACTTTGGGTGAAGAAAGAAGCCAAGTGGAAGACAGATTAAATTGAAGTGGAAGGCGGTAACAGAAAAGGCAGGACAAGGATTTCTATTTATTCCTTTGTTGTGAAAGTTTCCCATACTATATCCAGAATGCAAAATTGCTATGAAGCCATCCACTTTCAACCTAATAATTCCAAATGATATTTGGAATAATGTCCTCTAAAGGTCCTACTCCCATTGAGATTTCCGTGTTATACAGTTGCAAGTACTGCAACCATTTTTCACTTTTTAAAAATAACATTCCTTTATTTAAACGTATTTACTTATTTAAAGCATTTTTATGTTGCCTTTGCACCCAATCAGGGCCTATACAGCGGCAAACATAAAAACATAAAAACATTTTAACAAAAATACCGTTAAAATTATAGTAAAGCCGGGTCACCAGCCTTAATCCCAGATGTTATTGCAGAGATTGTGGATGTTCAAACAAAGAAATTAATCTTAGAAACTGCTCGTGGCCAAAAAGGTTTGAAACTAGATTATGCTATCACCCAAATATTCCCAGATCTTCCGTATGAAATCTTGACAGCTCAAAGAAATATGTGTCCAGTGATACAGAGACTAATAGAACTAAAAATACCGTATCAGTGGTTACCTCTGGGTCATCTCACAGTTACCCAATGGGGAAGGACTTGGACAGCCCATGATGTACCTTCAGGAGAGGAAATGATTACAGCTATTACGCAGGCTGCCAGTGGCTCATAGGACTAGACTTGATAAGGATGCGAAATAGGCAGTACTGGAATAAAAACTTTTACTTAAATTTAAATTGGGATATTGCACAACGCAGGTAAGTCTGTATGGGGAAGATCCCCAGCCCGCCAATGGCGAGTCTCTTTTAGGGACTCCTTTGGGGAACCAAAGATTCCGGAGCGGGCAGCACGTCCCAAAGATAAACACTAGAAGATAAACATTTTGGCGTTCAGCAGTAATTCTTGCTTTCCTTTAATTGTAATAGTTACATAATAAAATTATACATTAAAAGTGTAAAGAAATAAATTGACAAGTAATAATTAATAGCAATTGGAAAAAATAATTTGGGGTTAAGAGGGGTAAGAAAAACAAAAGATGTATGAATTGTATAATGATATATTTTCGGAACGTAGAATTAAGTTTGTGGGAACATTCCCAAATGGATTATAAAGATAGGACAATAGATATATTAGAAATCAATCCAATTTGGGCATATTGTAGGTTATCTTTGATAAACTAGTTTAAATGTTATTCCTTCCTTTGTTATGATGTTTTGTATCAACTTGTATTATGGGAATTAAAATCAAAATAAAATATATTAAAAAATAGTTAAAATTATAAAATTCAACTAAAAAAACATTAAACAAACAACACTAGAAAGAGGGTCAATAAACAGTTGTCACCCACCAGTGGAAGACAATGACAGAAGTAGACAGATGAATCTCCCTGGGGAGGGAGTTCCAAACCTTTGGTGCCATGACAGAGAAGGCCCTTTCTTGGGCTGCCACCCGCCTAACCCCAAGATGACAGGGGCAACTGAAGCAGGGCCTTCAGAGGATAACCAGAGTGAGTGGATAGGTTCATACTAGAGAAAGTGGCCCTCAAGGAATGTTGGTCCTAGGCTGTAAACGGCTTGAAAGGTCAATCCCAGCACCTTGCATTCAGCTCGGAAGCAAATTGGAAGCCAGCAGAGGTGGAACAAGACTGGAATGATATGGTCCCAACAAGCCACTCGAGTCAACGCTCTGCCTGCAGCATTCTGTGCCAACTGTACCTGCCGGACAGTTTTCAAGGGCATCCCTTCATAGAGCACATTGCAGTAATCTAATCTAGAGGTTACCAGGGCATGCAGCACTGTGGCAAGATCATTTCTGCCCAGGAAGGGCCGCACCTGGCTCACCAGTCAAAGCTGCTGAAAGGCACCTCTGGCCATTGCTGTCACCCATTTATCCAACATGAGGCCCAGGTTCACAAGCACCCTTAAGCTATGAACCTGCTCCTTTAGGGGAAATGCAACCCCATCCAGAACAGGGAATGACCCATTTGCTGGGTCAGTCATTCTCTCTACCAGTAGCACCTTCATTCTGTCGGGATTTCGTATCATCTTGTTAGCCTTCACCCATTCCAAAACCACCTCCAGGCACCTGTTCACAGTGTCTAACCTACTTCATTCACAGTGCTTCAGGAAGGTTACAATTTAAAAATAATATTATCTACATCAAATTAAAATGTATTTTAAATTCTCGGCTTTTTTAGAAGCTGGTCACCAAAATTAGCCCAGATAAAAATGCTAAAAGTCTTGCGAGTTTGGGAAGCCTGCAGGGCAAGTGTGTACCACAACTGTAGCACCATGAGCCAGGAATATACACTCTATATACTAAACACTCAAGTGGGTGAACAGTCAAAAGGAATCCTCAGTTAAACGAACAGAGATCACAATGGGACAAATGAACCACCTATTGTTTCCCCATACCTTATCTGCCAGAATGGCAAGTGTTCTTTCAAGCCCATTGGATGATTTGTCCTTGGCGGCTCTGGAGAGTCTTTCTGCATAGTAACTAACTTGAGTTTTCAGGGTGTTGATCTGTGCAATGATCTCCTTTGCTCGAATAATATCCTGTGGTATGTACACTATTGACTGGGAGCTGGATGACGTGCTAGAGGGCGGGAAAAATGACCAATTTTAAATATGAACTTACGAGGCGACTGCAGTAACTGCATTCTTTCATCATGCCAAGAGGACAGCACAAGCAACTGCCTGTCTACATTAACAAATTAAACGCAAAAGACTTAACAGCAGACTACTCCATTGGGAATCAGGTGCCCTTCACATTTTTGATGAAAGCATCTGGCCACAGATATATACAATGTGCATGCTGAGTGAATGTGCAGAGGTTGTGCAGAAGAAAGACAGCATGGTTCTGTCAATGCATGGCTACAAAACAATAAGAAAGGGCCCCAAATGTTACTTAGTGTAGCCCTTGCCCTAAAGCATTGACTCGGAGTCAGTGATCTATCAGTGGAAGCTGCTGACAGTCACAGATCTTCCTCACGTTCCCCTCCACCTAGCAGCCATTTCTGACCTCAGGAAGAGTGATTCCCAGGAATGCAAGACCCACATGGAGAATTTTGTGGGCTGCAGCAATGAGGGGCTTTGACTCTTTTATCAAAGAAATTAAATCAGAAGAGTTTCCGGCTAAACATTAGGAAGAACTTCCTGACAGTCAGTGTGGCTCCTCAGTGGAACAGGCTTCCTTGGGAGATGGTGGTTTTCTTTGGAGGTTTTCAGAGGCTAGATGGCCATCTGACAGCAATGCTGATTCTGTGAACTTAGGCAGCACATGAGAGGGAGGGCAGGAAGGGTTGCAGCAGGGCTTAGTTCTCATGGCCCTTTCGTACATGCCCAGAGAAATGCTGATCACCACTTTGGGGTCAGAAAACAATTTTTCTCCCGGCCAGTTTGGCCAGGGATCCTGGAGGGATCCCCCCCCATCTTCTGGGCATGGAACAGGAGTCACCAAGGGTGGGGGGGGGAGGTATTTGTGACTTTCCTGGATTGTGCAGGGGCTTGGACTAGATGACCCTCTAGGTCCCTTCCAACTCTATGATTCTATGAATGCCACTGATGGAAGAGATAAATCTCACCCCTTTCCACCTCCTGACTATAGCCCAGTGACCCACATGGCTGCTACACACAGGTTCCCACCACCTCAGGAATCAACTTTCCCAGGACTGGAAGTGGCCTCTGGGGGAGAGGAAAACAGGGAACATACTCAATCCTTGTATTAAAATTCCTGGTCCTTGTGCCAGTGTATCACTAGATAAAACCCAGTGAGCTGGATCCAGCCAGCTTTGTTGTTTAATCTCACTCAACCCTCATCTTTATTACGGCCCTCATTCCACTTGGCTTTTATGGTCCCATGATCCCCAGTATATAATAAGCCTTTATCCAAGAACATTAACACATTACTTGATAGCATCTTCAAACTTCTGTGCCAAATTCACAGTTCTGGCTCAACAGCGGACAGGCATGCACAATTGGTGAGAAGCTGAATGCAACTCACCAGGAATATATTGTGGCCTGTCACTTGCTCAAAACCCGCAGTGTTTTCGCAGATGCAGTAAGCAAAAACACCCAGATACTCCTACAGAGCAGGGATCCCCAACATGGCACCTAAGGGCGTCAGGGTGCCCACCAACCCCTCCCCTGGTCCCCTCTGAGTGTTTTTATAAAGTGGGTGGGGCTCAGTGTTCCCTCTAAGATGAGTTAGTGTGAGCTAACTCACAGTATTTTAGCCTCTGGCTCACCCATTTTTGTCTTAGCTCAGGAAGGATGGCTCCAGAGCAAACTAATTTACGCAGCAGCCAAATCACCCTCTCACAACTTTAATGCCAGTAGCTCACAAAGTAGAATTTTTGCTCACAAGACTCCACAGCTTAGAGGGAGCACTGGTTCTCTTACACAGAATGGGGCTCTTACACAGAAAGGCTTCCGATTGGCCCCTGGAGATCTGTTTGGTTGTGCAGATCAAAATATTGTTTCAGTGGAAGCTGTCTCCACTGCGTTGATTTTATTCTCTCTCTCACTCCTCTTTTTCCAGTGTATTTTTAAAATTGTCCCTCTTCTCCCCCTTACTTGGGCTTCCTCTGCGTATGAGGCTCTGCCTCCTGTGGCAGCCATTTTGTGACTGGCTTTGCCTCCTGCAGCAGCCATTTTGTGGCTGTGCCCAGCCCCAATGTCTGAATTCCAAAGGGGCTCAGAGGGTCAAAAAGGCGAGATCCCCACTATAAAGGGCTGCCATGTATCATTGTTTGGATGAACTCAAGTTTGGTGAGTCATCATGAGCAGGAGTGGCTTAATGTGTCAACTTAACAGCTTTCACCTTCTATTCAAACAAAAAACACAAGGCAGCTGTGAAATTTAGAGGACTACCAAAAGGGTGGGGGGGCCCCCTAAGGGTACATAATTCAAACAGCCCAGGGAGCCCTGATCATCACAGAACAGTAGCAGCACCCCTATTCTAAATCAAGCATCTTGCGTGGGTTCTTCTGAATGTGACTGTGGAGGAGGGGCAGAGGGAATCTTCTCCTGGGAGACCATGGTGGCTCTTGGCAGCACTGGAAACTTTTTGAGTGAATAAATCCGGGCTTTCCCCCCAAGGCTCTGCAACTGGTTCTTCAAAATATTTTAAATGACTAAACAATGCCACTGAAAGAATGGCTTCCCTCTGCAACTGTCAGCATTATCACGTGGGTAGCTTTAGAAAGAAAGAATGCTGAATGTACACTTCAGCTACATTACACTCCAGCTGAAAAAGAGGTCCTGTTGTGGGGATGCATGAGGCTGCAAATGCCAAGTGAGACCCATTACCTTCTTTTTTAAAAGAAGCTCTCCAGTTTACTGTGTTGGAAGCTGATGCAGGCACTGGGACTGGCTTACAGGACAGTGTGAGGGAGGATGCTGGTTTCTACATTTCCCTTTTTCAACTAGGGAAAATGGCCTAAACATTACTAATTTTGAAGATTCTAAAGTCTGAAAGGATTTTACAGAGGTCTTTTGAAGCAACTGCCTGAGAAAAATGTATTCTGCTTGAAGATGCTACCATATACAAAGCTAGCACTGGAAGAACTAGGAAGCAATTTGGTACTGCTCAAAAGATGTTCGAAGAAATGTGCCTTCCGGTTGATTGGGTTTTGTTACTGCATTTAAAATGGTTGGGGTTTTTTGGTTTTTCATCCATTATACTGTGGCTACGTTTTGATCTGATCATGCCAATTTATTATGATGTTTTACAGTTTTATTACTGTATTTATTTTATTATTGGAAAACACTTTAGGCAAGTACTTCAGAGAGGTGCTCTAGCAAACAAATATAAATATTAAACAATGCAATACAGGGGCAACATCTGAAGGATTTTGGTTGCTTATCTTCCTCCTAATCACCTATTTTAGGGACAGAATGAAGTTTGAGTCCAGTGGCACCTTTAAGACCAATACAGTTTTATTCAAGGTATTTCTTACACCATATGAGAGATACCATGCAGAATTAGGATATAAGTAGCAGCAAAATACATACAGCAGTTTCCTGCTCAGGCTCACAGTAAAAGAAAAAAGAAAGGAATCTACTGCAAAATGAGAGGAAAGATATTTTATGGCAGGAGGTTCATGCACATCTGCTTTAATGAACAGCTGTCATCCTTCACTGGCAAATTAAACTGTAAAAATAATTTTTAAAAACCCACCATTCCAATCTACATATGTTTGTGGATGCACAAGAAAATTAACACAATGGGTGCTGTCAGGAGGAAATTACAGGATTTAAAATGGAAAAAATGTTATGTTTGGACTCAATGTTTTTAGTGCAGCTACTGCTTTCATGTAAACTTATTGCTTTCGTAACCCCCTAAGGAAGAAGATGAATAACAGACTTCTCTTGACCTGGTAGACTGCAATACAGGCCTTTTAAGTATCTAACTATTAAACCAATTTTACATCTGTATGTTTAAAAATGCAATCTTATAGACTTACAGTGGGTTGGAATCCCATGGATCTGGTCCATTAGTAGGGGCCACATGTCCTTGTCAGAAGGAGTCATCCCCCTGATATAACACCCTTAGAAGAAAAACAGTTCTGCTAGCAAAACAGCTCCATGGGATTCCACCTCGTAAATTCCAATCACTTTCAAAGGATCTAATCTAGTCTGCAGATAACAGATGCAAACTCATGTATCCTGATCAAATGTAGCCCTGACTCAGACCATCACATGAGATCGCAAAGATTGCTCTACTTTTATCAGAGGGAGCAGATCTGTGTCTGTGTGCATGCTCCCATCTGTGTATAGACCTACTTTGCCCACTAAAATGAATTAATCAGACCATGTGTGCCTCTGCACACTAGCACCCGTCTGGAAATAAGCAGGAACATCTAACCACATCTAATTTGTAACTTGAATGTGGTATCCCCCTCCGACTATTGACCCCCACACTTCACCATTCATGATGTCTGAAGGTCCCTTGTTCCACAGATGCAGCACTAACAAAGAAGCGTACCAGACTGCAGCAGGGAAAAAGCCAGAAGAAATTGGCACCACTTGTTGTTCACATTACTGGGGCACATCCTGACTGCTTACCCCATGTCACTAATTACCTAAGCATGACCAGCCCCCACATTTCTGAGGGGAAAGGGCTTCCAGGCTGGACAGCAGGACCTCCAGGCATTTCTGAGCCTCAGCACCTGGCTTTAACTGGAGCAGGTTAAGATATTTTTATTTTGTCAGGCTTTTGAATAAGATCTGGAGACATCTGGCGGATATCATTCTACTATTGTACAAGAAGTTGAAATATAACTATTTTTATCTATGTTAAATAATGAATCTATTTTATGAATCTGTACTGCCTTGAGAGTTTCTAGGAGACAGAAGGGTGGCATATAAATTTATACATAATATTTTTTACAAATTTATGTGTATAAATTTATACAAATCTATACCCAAGACATTTTTACAAATTAAGCCACACCCACCCACCGGCTCCCCATCAACACCCATTGTGACATCATATAGCTGAGGCAGTTACTAAAATGGTGGCAACCACAGAATACTTTTATGCTTCAGCAGTAATTCCCACAAAACACCTCAATAGGTATTCCAAACATTTTTGGCTTCAGACATAAAGCAGTTATCCACGCAAGTTGAAGCATCTCAATTAACTTCCTCATCAAAAAATCAAAAACATTTATAAAATGCTAGCTGTTCATTAAAGCTAACTATGCAGATGGAAAAGAATAAATCATTCATACAGTGCACCATAGTGAAAAATTTATTCACTGCATGAAGCAAAATGTGCAAAGGCCAAGATGCAAAGCATTTCACAGGGGGGGGGGGAGGCCCTCCTATACATGAATACATTCGTCCTTGCATAAAAAAGAGATGAAAAGAGAATTCTTGTCTCAGATTCCCAGAAACAGAAAACTCACCAACATTCCTCATAACTGCTAAAAAAAGAACCAAAAGAAAATTAGCCATTTGTTAGCAAATACCAAAAGCAGAAAACAAAGCAAAGCAAAGTTAGACTAAGTTATATTAATTATTTTCCAATAAAGCATGTCTATGTTATTAAAACTTGTAAGCCAAACAGAGTCACAGTGAATGCAAAATGGCAGATGATTTGCAGCTTGGTCCATTGATTTCTGATTACCTCATCCAATGGGGGAGTTACACACATCTCAAGGAACGAAATGCAGGGGGAGTTTTCAATTTGTCAATGCAACACTGGCACTCAAAAATCTATGGCTGTAATCCAAAGAACCACACTGTTTGGCACACCCAAAGTTTTGTGTCTCTTGGACAGCAGCTTCTCATGGCAAACTGCATTTGAATCTGAGGGGATTTTCAAAAGTAGTTTGTGATGGATATGCCATGGGTGTCTGTTGTCCAAAGAGGGGGCAGGAGTTTTGTAAAAACTCCCAGTGGGCATGCCAAAACCATTAGGCATACCTAAAGCAGTTCTTTGAATTCTGACCTCTATAAAGGTTGACAAATGGCCTCCACAGAGAGCTGATAATTCCACCGCTTGCATGTAGAGAGCTTCCACAAGACAGTAGAGAGGGACTGGAAGTGGGACAGAGGAAGAGAAGCTGTATAAAGAACAAGATGTCAAATCCTTCTTGGTCATGTAACACTTGTGCAAGGACATTAAACACCTGACAGTTTTAGAGGTCAGAGATGCCCATCTTCTCTACAGGGACTGCAATTACACTTGGGGATGACTGTCGCAGCAAATGAAAATAAAAACATCTACTTAGAACACAGTTTTAGGATACTGACTTTCACCAGCAAACAGGTGTGTACAGGACAAACACCTTCATCAGAAAATCTCTTATCTTTGACTGAATTTTTTTTAACTTAAATGCCTATTTTCAGCCCTGCCTTGTAGCAAGACACCTTCTTCTCTCCTGCGAGCCTCTCCTTGAATCACTGAAGTGCAGATTTGTACTTTGCATTAATAGGATGCAGTCAGAATTGACACAGAAAGTCTGTTTGTCTGTTGATGCACTGCCTGTATTCCAGCACAATAAACAGCATGGTTAGGTGATGCTGAGATGATTACTTATAATGAACATTCAGGCAAAGAGCGAGGTGTGTGTGTGAGTGAGGGCTTCAGGTTAGGAAGCAAAACTCTTGACATGTAACACCTGAGTTAAAATCCTGCCTCATTTTCAGATGTAGGACAGAGTTCTTTTATAGGAGAGACCACAGTCTTCTTCTGTTCTTTTGTCCTGTGCCTTTTCTCTTTTTTAAAAAGCTATATGAAGCACCTACTGTTATTTTTGTGTTTTGTTTAGATGGCTCTCCTGATGTGCCAAGCACTTCATTAGTCATCCTCACAGTGGGCTTACAAAACAAGCCCTTTTTAGAGTACCATGTTACATATATGGGCACTGAAGCTTAGAATCAGGCCTGCCCAACAGTAGGTGCTCCATATAGTTAAAAAAGAGAAAAGACACAGGACCAAAGAACAGAAGAAAATGATGATCTTTCCTCTAAACAAACCCTTTGCAACAGAACAATCATTATTTGGAATGTGCCCAGCAGACCTGGGTTATAGTCACTAGCTGTTCCTAAAATGGATGTCTTGTGTGTTGTTGGGAGGAAAGTCCTGAATTTGGGATGGAAGCCTTTGACCTCTAGTTAATGCTGGCTTTGCTAAAGTCAATAGAAGGACTTACAACACTTCTGTTTTTCCAACAGCAACATACACAAACTTGCCACTTTTTCCCACTTAAAAGTATTGCCTTCTGCCGATGAAAGAGTATACATGCTTTTGAACTCTCTGTGAGGGCAAGGTTCTTAAACTAACCAAGGGGACTTTTAAAAATACTGAGTCCTTTCCCATCAGTATATTCTCCATGAAAAGATCTATCAGTGGCAGCATGCAAGGCAGCAGTGGTGGGGCAGAGCAACTCTCACAACTGTAAACAAGAAGAGAATGAAATGTTAATTAGACAGCATCTACACTACAGAGGTGAAAAACCTGGTTGAGATTGGTCTGTTGAAGGATTGGCTCCATCTGCACTAAAGCTCAGCTCTGTTACACACTGGCTCTGATGGGGACACTAATGCTCATCATAAGTTTAGATGACGTATTAGTATAATGTGATGGCTCTGATGGGGACACTAATGCTCATCATAAGTTTAGATGAAGTATTAGTATAATGTGACACCAAGTGCTGAATAGCCAGGGCCTTGCCAGGATCCTTACCCATGTTCAAAACGTCAAGTCTGGCAAAAGTACTGATGGGAAATCACATCTGCGAGATTTTTTATTTATTTTATTTATTTATAGCTTCAATTTATAGCCCGCCCTCCCCGCAACACGGGCTCAGGGCGGCTCACAGACAGGCAAAGCCAGGACATAAAACAGATTAAAACCATATAAAAACATCACTACAATATCACAACATAATTACAACCTATTAAGTGCTCTAGATGTTCAAACAAGATCTTCCATAAAGATGGCGTCTCGAAGATGGTACACCCAATCAGTGCAGCCAGTTCCATGTGACACTGTTGATCTCTCTTCCCAGGGCCAGAAGCTAATGATGGTAAAATAGTGATGGTAGAATAGTGGCGGCTCCTACTCAAAAGCCTGGCGGAAGAGCTCCGTCTTACAGGCCCTGCGGAACTGCACAAGGTCCCGCAGGGCCCGGATCTCCTCCGGGAGCTCATTCCACCAGGTAGGAGCCGCCACCGAAAAAGCTCTGGCCCTGGTAGCAGCCAGCTTGGCCTCCTTGGGGCTTGGAATTGTCAGGAGATGTTGTGTCCCCGACCATAGTGCCCGCAGGGGAACATATGGGGAAAGGCGGTCCCTTAGGTATGTTGGACCCCAGCCATATAGGGCTTTAAAGGTAATGGCATAAGTTAGGCATAAGTTAAAGGATGGCATAAGATGCGTAATTTGCAAAAAGCAGCCACTCTTAATTAAGCTTCCCCCCCCCCCAGAGTGGGTCTATGGAGCAGCTTCAGTGTCTACATGCATTTCCTCCATGGCCACATGGCACCTTCCTGGTTTCAATTCAAAAGCATAGCAATCACTCAAAAAGTTTCTCAAGCTTGGACAAAAGTGGCCTCAGAAGCCGGTCATGTGGGCTGTCCAGCTGGTATAGATTCCCGGTTGATTTCCCTTTCTATGGTTTTGACTACCAGGCCCATAAAGAGAACTAGAGTAGCACCACTGTCACCATATTGCACCAGAAACAGTGCTGAACTCTTTGAAAAAAATGACGCACATGGGTCCTAATGCTTCTCAAATACCTTGTCTTTTCAGACATACATTATAACATAGATAGAGACAGACAGACAGGTCAAAATGGTAGCAACTCCAGTATGCAGTTGGTACAGAACTCCTTCTGAAAATTTTGTATCTCACTGAAGGTCAAGATGTGAGGATCCCCAAATGGCACATTACAGGGAAAGTGGAAATGTAACATCATCCGCACCCTTCTGTGTAGGAAGCAAATAATCTGTCAGAGAGGCCAGAGAATTTGTTTCTCTGAACGAAGGTCACTCCTACTCAATTCTGTGGGTGGGGGACAATTGACATTTCCCTCTGCACTAACTATTCCAGGAATATCAGATAATGGCAATCAGGGTTTGCCCTTCTTGCCCTTACTAAAGCACTGGTCGATTTTCCTTTGCACAAATCAGAGCTAAAAAGGTTAAGAATACAGTCTCACAGCTTGTTTTCAAGCATAGTTCATCCCTACTTTTTGGAAATGACTACAAGAAAAGGGGCAAGAACATGTTCACATCTGACTTCAGAAAAGAAAGGGAACGGCACTATACAAAAAAACCCTCCTCAAATTACAAAATTAGGAGAGAGTGTCAAGACAAATTTTCTAGGACAGTATATTGCTTCTAAACCTGATCGTCCAACTTGTCAGTCTTCCCTTAAAAGCACAGCTGGAAGGAATATTGGTATTGCCCCCAAATCCTCTTTACACAGCTGATTTCAGGATTCAAGCAGTGACAGCCTGTGCAAGCCAAACTTGCTCCAGCTGCCCCCACACTCCTCTTGTCCATCCCCCCCCCATTCAAAGCACCATTCACTTCCTTCCTGTGCCATTTTAAGACCCAGTAAATTTCATGGCCCACACATTACCAGCATACCCAAAATGGCAGGTGTCAGGAAGCAGCAACACTGTAGTACTACTAGGATTCCTGAAGAGTTTAGCTTCATCTGTCCACATACTATACCCCAAAGTGATCCCAGAAAAACTTAGGCCCTACAAGAAAGCTTCACAGACAGACCTAACTGTCACCTCTATATAGAAAAATATGTAACGCTTAAATAGAAAATACCTGGATAACTGGGCTAAAACAAATAAAACGAATTTCAATGGGGATAAATGTAAAGTTCTGCATTTAGGTTGGAAAAATCAAATGCATAATTATAGGATGGGGGAGACTTCTCTTGGCAGTAGGTTTGTGCGAAAAGGATCTAGGGGGTCTTAGTAGACCATACACTGAACATGAGTCAGCAGTGTGATGTTGTAGCTAAAAAGGCAAATTATATCACGCGAAGTGATGGTACCACTTTACTCTGCTCTGTTAGACTATTGTATTCAGTTTTGGGCACCACAATTTAAGAAGGATATAGAGAAGCTGGAACATGTCCAGAGGAGGGCAATGAAGATGGTGAGGGGTCTGGAGTCCAAGTCCTATGAGGAAAGGTTGAAGGAGCTGGGTATGCCTAGCCTGGAGAGGAGGCAACTGAGAGGTGATAGGATAACTATCCTCAAGAACTTGAAGGGCTGTCATTTAGAGGATGGTATGGTTTTCTGTTGCCCCAGAAGGTCGAACCAGAACCAACGGGATGAAATTAAATCATAAGAGTTTTCCACTAAACATTAGGAAGAACTTCCTGACAGTCAGAGTGGTTCCTCAGTGGAAGAGGCTTCCTTGGGAGGTGGGGAAGGTCTCCTTCTTTGGAGGTTTTCAAACAGAGGCTAGATGGCCATCTGACAGCAATGCTGATTCTGTGAACTTAGGCAGATCATGAGAGGGAGGGGCAGGAAGGGTTGCATCAGTGCTTAGTTCTTGTCGCCCTTTCTTACATCCCCAGGGAAATGCTGATCTTCACTTTTAGGTCAGGAAGCAATTCTCCTCCAGGCCAGTTTGGCTGGGGATCCTGGAAGTTTTTTGTCATCTTCTGGGCGTGGAACAGTGGTCATTGGGGTTGTGGAATGGGAGGTATTTGTGAATTTCCTGAATTGTGCAGGGGGTTGGACTAGATGACCCTGGAGATCCCTTCCAACTCTATGATTCTATGACCTTATTACAAGGCAGCTATGAAGTGATCTAATAATCTAACAAAATATGAAGTAACATTACTAATAGAGAACAGGGAGAGAAAACACCTTCTTCCTTCCCGCTCTTTGCATAAGCTGCATTTAATCTTCAAGTGATGCTTCCTATGAGTAGAGGCAATAAAAACATGGGATGAGATGCTTTTTAACAAAAACTGGAGCTCCAGGAGGAAGGCAAAATATCAGCAGCGTTTACAACGATCCTTCCACTTACTGTTTCTTTGCGTCTTCAAATTTATGTAGCTTTTTCCGCAGACCTCCGGATTTAAAACCTTGACAGTGGGCTGCCGAAGCTCCTATAGTTACAATATCATAATTCTGATCTAAATGGGACAAGAGGAGAAAAAGAGGGAGATGTTAAAGGAAAATGCTTGTAATTATGATTAATACAAGTGACAAATGTAATTTCTGATCTGGCGGAGAGATGCTAAGCCCACACTAATGCTCCTTGTGGCTAGAACTATGAGAGGGTAGGCAGAAAGAAATCAATCCTGGTATGTACACCAGCAGGGCCGCCGGCACAACTGGCTATCCTGCCAGGATCACCTATTAATCTTATAGCCACTGAACAAATGCTAAGAATATGTTGTCAAAGGCTTTCACGGCCGGAGTTCATTAGTTGCTGTAGATTTTCCAGGTTGTGTGGCCGTGGTCTTGGCATTGTAGGACCTCACGTTTCGCCAGTAGCTGTGACTGGCATCCTCAGAGGTATAACACAGAAGGATGGAGTACTCTCTGCGTCAAGGTGAGAAGAGTACACCATCTTGACACAGAGAGTACTCCATCTTTCTGTGTTATACCTCTGAGGATGCCAGTCACAGCTACTGGCGAAACGTCAGGTTCTACAATGCCAAGACCACGGCCACACAACCTGAAAAATCTACAGCAACAAATGCTAAGAACTTTTTAAAATCAACTCCAAATCCAGCTATAAGACAACAGCGTTAAATTCTGAAATCCACGCTTTCCTACTGCAAGAAGACCTGTGAAGTGATTACATCTGACACTGTAACAGTAGCCCACTCCATTCAACCATGTGTTGATTCTCACATTTTTCATGAAGGGCTATTGGAAATCCCATCATAAGATACAAGAACCACTCATTGCATGAATGTCCAGTTGCATGGGCAGTCCTCCATGCTTTCATCAGCCATGTCCATTAACCAGGAATATGAAAAGTAATGAGTCTAAAGATCCTTTACCTAATTCAAACAGGAAGAATGTGTTGATACTACATAAGTAAATCAACAACCAGGGACTTGGACTATTAACCATGTCCACAGTTGCCGATCTACTTTTATGATATTAACATACTTTATGTTTGAATTATGTTAAAGATCTTTAGAAAATGTTGGCAGGACTTAAGTAAATCATTAGCTATGGATTTGCATTCAGATCAACTAGCCATATGAGTACGGGGGCTTCAATTAGGGAGGTTCTACATGCACATTCTTGTGTGGACATAGAGCTCCCACTTCCATTGAAGTAGACGGGGGAGGCCACTGAAATCCAGCAATAATATATACTTCAATGGTAGTCAGAAAAGCTACATTTTACTCATGTATCCTATTTTCTGCAACTGAAAACAATGAACCAATAGCTTATACAATGACGCCCTGAGAAGTCTACAGACCAAAGAAAACTATGGGAAACCCTGTCTCAGAAAATGCCAGCCATTATCAGCATTATGCAGATAAAGAATTATGAAACTTTCCTACCAAGCACAAATCCCTGATCCTTGGGTAACAGAGATTTTTATAAACCCTTCAGCCTACCATGATACTGTGGCCATGCTCTCTTTCTAACCAGCAAGCATCATCTCAGATGGCCCTGTCTTTCCTCTGTATGTTTTTCCTGGGTGTCCTGTTCAGACAGCAACAGTATCCCTTCACCAGTGTTCCCTCTAAGCTGAGTTAGTGTGAGCCACCTCACAGTTGTTTAGCCTCCGGCTCACACAGTTTTGTCTTAGCTCTTACCAACAATTTTAATATGATATACGCCAATATGTGAACAAGACAAAATACCTGATCCTGCATCGTCCTGGACTCTCATTCGTTGAATATGTAAATTAGTGGGAACAAATTCTAGCTTTTTGTCAGCTTTCAAGCTGCTTGCTTTGAATGATGGACCTGAGGAAATGGCACGGAGAGAGCAAAACACACGTTTAGTCCACAGAAGTACAACTACTAAGGAAGGGAAGGGCAGTACCAAATTTCAGTTCAGAAACTACACAATAAGACCCCCAACAACAGTTAGATTTCCCAGAAGGCCACTTTAAAAACTGAGTCTGGATATAGAGGGGGGTTTTAAAGCTTGCAAGCAAGGCATTTTTAAATTAATTTTAATAAATCAGGAAGTACATATCACAACATCAAAATACCATATTGATTAAAAACAGAAAACCATCAATTCATGGTTCTTTTAAACTTATAACGGCCAATGGCTATATTTAATAAACTATTGACTGACTGACAGAAAACTACCTAACTAAAATGAATTAATTCAGTAACTTGTGCAATACTCCTAGCATTTATAATTTCAATGCTACACTAATACGCTGACCAGAAAGGATGACTCTCTTGTGGGGGAGTCATCCCCACTGACCAGGATACAGAGTTGAGGCCACCCAAGGTGGCCTGCTTAGAAGCCCTGTTGCCAACATACAGGCCAAGCTTAATGGTGGGAGGCCCGTGATCAGAGCTTCCCTGGCTGGGGGGAAGGGGGAGTCAGTCATCAGGTGTGTTGGAACCCAATTCCAATTGGGACCATTGGGGGAGGGGAATTGGTTTTAAGGTCAGTCTCTCTCTCTCTCTCTGCAGAACCCATGTACACAGCTTCCCAATAAGATTCAAAAGAGTCCGGTTTTCCCTCCTTTCCCAATAAGGACTTGCAGGCAATATGGTGGTATATTAACGGAAGGAGAGGTGTGTATCCACCTCCACACCCTCTACCCTTCCTCTAGTAATTTGCATTAGGGCAGACGGAATACTAGACAGAGAAGAACCCAACATACGCAATAATAGTCTATTGCACTGACTGTCTGCCCATGTATCCATGCGTGCACAATAGGGGCGGGGCTCTACTAAATGCCTAGGGGATACTATATGCAGGAGTCCTGCATCCACTATATGAATAACCTGTGCCAATATTTCCTTAAAGTCGACTTTTGTCCTAGAGAAAAGGCAAATGATAATACAGGTTATTAGAAGTAATCATACAACATGGATGAAGCGTGTAATTCTGTATTCAAGAGAACAGATATTGGTTACCTTTGTACTGATGCAGATTTGTGAGGTTTTCCTGGTAAGTTAGTATAATTGTTTGGTACTGCGTAACTATTTGCCGACGAAGACTTTCCCAACAAGGAGACAGCTCTCCCAGCTCTTCAAGCTCACAAACCCTACCAAAAAAACACACCAACAATTAAGCTTCAGCTAAGCATAGCTATGTATATAATCAAAGGTAAAGTATCCCTCCAACAATATAAGAGTTGCCTTATTTATACAGAGATTAAGATGCCAAGACCTGGAACAGTTTCCTGCTGGCAAGTCAGCAAAAAAACCCCTAAATTTCTATTAGCCGTGGCAACAATAATAGCCACATACCTAAAAAGCTGCACAATGTGCCTTTGTGGCAAAACGTAGATGACAAAGGTTCCTGTTTGAGTTTGTGATGGGTTGTTTTAATAACCCATGACAACACAGACCTTGACATTCTGTATTCTTTTTATATTAGATTACACTTTTATGACCTATGAACCCCGCCTGAGCCCCCATGTACCAATGCCATTTAAGAAGTTTTTGTTGGCCCTGACGGAAAGTCTGATGATCACGGACCGGCAGAAGGGCACGCACATTAAAAACCAGAGAACTAAGACATCCCAATTCCCAGCCAATAAACTGGGTTGACAATTTTACTTTCTGGAAAGCTCCTGTGTCTTTAAACGGTATTATGTCTGGCAGAATTCACCAGGCACAATTTTTCCTAGCATGTAAATACAGTGATGGGGAATGTCCAAATATAATCTTCCCCTTTCTTCCCCCTGTTTAAAATAGGGTGCATTTCTTTTCATGCTTATGCAGTAACTGTCACAAAACATCCTGCGTAGTAAAAACTCTATATTCTGTACATTGCAACTTCAAGCTCCCTGCTAAGAGCTAAACTGTATGAACCCCAAGCTGACCACAAAGAGTATAAGATCAGATGCAGCAGGGGCAGATAAGCTGATGGCAACATCAGAGCTTGTGGAATACAGAACAGTGCGGACGGTGCATCAACAGCAGAGAACGCTTCAGTAACACATTCAGTAACATTGGACCACAGTAAGAAAATTTTTATGCTGGCAGATCAGAATTCTTAGATGCAGCACAGCTATAGGGTACAAAACCTCTATGGGGAACAGTAACATGTGGGGGAAGAAGAGTAACATGTGCAGCACAGCTATAGGGTACAAAGCCTGTATGGGGAAGAGTAACATGTGGGGGGGGGGGCAAAGCAAGATTTGCATGCCATCAAAACACCCTTCTAGCCCCTGCAAAATCAGCTGCATCAGTGCAAGTCCATATGCGCTGATATGTTGTCGTACAGCTTACAGCAGGATAATAGTCAACACTCCCCACAGCCAGACTGATAGCCTGACTTGTCTTGCAGAAGATCCTGGAAAGCAAGCTTTACTGCACTCCAGTGACCAGGCTGTAAAACAGCATTTTGCTATACTAAGGCTGACTGGAGCAAAAGCTGTGGTGGGTGGGGGACGAGAGAGGGAAAATAAAGGCTAGGGCAGCTGATGGTAGCCTGCCAGCTGAAGGCAATAAGTTTAAAATGTATTGTTCTAAAAAATGACACATGCTTGGTGGGGTGAAAGTGGGAGTCATTGGCTCCTTGTCAGCACTTGGCAAAGATCACTTCTCACTTGTGTGGCTTCCTCAAGCTCTGCTAAAGCTTATCTTCTCCAGCCTCCTTCCAAAATACTGAATCATTTTTTCCACTCGAAAGCAGCTTTCTTTTGTTCCTCTTTGTGCTTATGGTGCATACAAACTCTGTAAAGCCTTTTGTGCAGAGAAGATTGCTTGTTATATTTTAATTGCATTAGCATGCCCAATTAATTAGTACAAGTGGGGGCCTGCAAGAAACTTGGGGGAGCAGCTATCCCATCCCATCCCATCTCTGCTTCTCCCCCTCCCCGCCTACTTCTCTCCCACTCTTTCTCCTCTTCCTGCCACCCCTTTTCTTTCTCTCTCTCTCTCCCCTCCATGCCTATCATTTCTTTTCTGCCCCCACCCCATCTCCCTTTCCACCCCTGTCATTCTCCTAGCCTCCCACCTACTCCCCCCCACACACAGCAGCAGTGGCAGCAGCCTCTCTCCAGGAATAACAATGGATTGCGCAAATTACAGAGATCAGTTCCTCTTAGGATTGCCAGCTCCAGGTGGAGCCTTGGGAGGATGAGGTTTGAGCTTGGAAGTGACCTCAGCATGGTATAATACCATAAACTGCACCCTTCAAAGCAGCCATTTTCCCTGGGGAAACTGATCTCTGTCATCTGGAGGTCAGTTGTAATTCCAGGATATCTCCAGCCCTCACCTGGAGGTTGGCAGCATTAGTTCCCTTGGAGGAAATGACTGCTTTGGAGGGTGGAATCTATGCCATTATATCTGTCTAAAGTCCCTCCCTGTCTCAATCCCCACCATCTTCAGGCTCCCTGCTCAAATATCCAGGAATTTCCTAACCTGGAGTTGGCATCCCTATCTCCTTCCCACCCAACAGCCAACCTACCTTTATCTGCTCCCCTGTTTTCAGCTTTCTGTCTCCTTTTCCCCTGCAGCCTCTACTGAGGAAAACTATGGTCTTTCTCCACAATGGGGACTAAAGCTTATTCTCTCCTCCTTTTTATCCACACAACAACCCTATGAAGTAGGTGAGGCTGAAAGTATGTGACTGGTCCAAAATCACCCAGTGAGCTTCCACAGCAAGATGAGGATCTAAACCTGGGTCTCGCAAACCCTACTCTGAAGCTCTGGCCATTATCCTACATTGACTTTCATAGGGTGGCTGCTGTTGAACGGTAGCAAGCAGCCAGGCCTAGTTGAATCATGCAAGTCAGGTGGTATCAAATCAGCCAGAGGGTGCTTCTAGGCCTAGGTTTGCCAGTCTCTAGGTGGGGCCAGGAGATCCCCCAGAATTACAACTGAACTCCAGACAACAGAGATCTGTCCCCCTGGAGAAAATGGGTGGTCTCGTTGGCATTATATCCAGCTAAGGCCTCTCTCCTCTCCAAACTCTGCACTCCTCAGACTTCACCACAGAATCTCCAGGTATTTCCCAACCTGGAGGGAGCAATCCTAGTCCCAGGCCTGGCTCCAAAATAGGCCTAGAAAGTGCCCTGCCCCCTCCCCCTGCCCTTTTAACCCAAGTCCCCTGCTATTTAGCCATTCATACTGCAAGAGGAATCCTCCCCAATCCCAGCTCTAGTTCTGCTTTTGCTTCCTGCCCTCTTCCCCCACTCATCATCTCTCTCTGTCTTTCTGGCTATCAACCAGTCTATCTCTCACTGTCAATGCCTGCCGAGGCCACTTCAAAAGGTTTAGAGGGGAAATTCAACGCTCCCTCAGTTTTTCTTTTTTACTTTTTGGATTTTTCTTCAGACCCATTGAGCCCCCTGAGTCTGTAGAAAAACCTGTTGGAAGAGAGTGTGCCCTCTGCACAAATAAATATCTGTACACAGAGGAGACAGTTGAGAATTAGATATACAGACAGAACAAATGCATAAGCTGGGAGTTCCCAACCTTGCAACGTCTGTCAGAAAGAAGTGGGTGTTATCACAGAATGGCTGCACTGAAAAAGAAGGAGCGTGGAAAGGGTCATGACTCCGACACCAGGAAACATATTAGCAGGCAACTGGGCACCCTATTGGGGACCACTGAAACCATAAGTTAAGACTGTCGTCAATTATTAGTGCCCTAGAATTAGTTTTGCTAACAACCCTGAAAAGTTAAGGGCTGCGTTGGACAATACTTCCTTCTCACTCTTCTCTCTACATGTGCTGAGAGACTGATGTTGAGTTCTTCTGTTTCATCCACTGGCCATGCGTGTTCCACTGGACATCCAGGCATGACTGTAAATGACTAAAGGGAGAAAAATCCAATGCATACATGCCCAAACTAAGCACACAGTTCCTAGACTGCATGAATAAATTCTATTGTGCTTTTTTGCTTTGTGTGCATTGGATTTTATGTCCACGTTCAACAGGAAAGGCACATTAGATCCCAGGGCAAGAAGATGCAATCTTGTTCCCACTGCAAATAGAAGAAAAATATCATCCGATCCCAGTGGTACTAAGTCCCTCTGTTTTTTCCAATTCATTATAGAGTTAACATTCAAGACCAATCTTCATGTGGAATTCAACTTGAAAGTCTACTGTAAGGTAGGGTTCTATGCGCACCTGACAACAAGCCTTTGGACCGTACTAAATCACCCAAGATCTATACCTCAGACACTGTGAGTGCTCTTTCAAAACAATGGGCAGTATTATCTGCCACTGGCAACTGTCTCTGTTGAAAATATTGGGATCACTTTAAGCTCAAGTCCAAGTGCCTGTCTTTTAAATATTATAAGGCATCTCTCAATGGCTGCTAGCAAGGGTACAAATTTCCTTCCAGGAACCCATAGCAATGGAAGATAGTTCCCATTAGTAATGGCTTCATCATCCACTGATGCCATAGGGTTATCTTTTTTAAGCAGTGGAGACGTCAGGTCTCCAAATGGACAATAATGCCAGAGAGAGGATCCTGAACATATTTTGTCATTTGTTGATCTGAGCACAACTTTTCTGGCTATTTCAGGCAATGCTCACTTCTCCTCCCCTGACATGACCAGGCCCAGTGATTCTGCAGTGCTTTGAGAAAGAAAAGCACTTGAAAGATGGAGACTCCTCTTTACTTGTTGATTATTTTCAACAGCCTAGGGAGGCCCTACGCTTCTGGAAGCATGAGACAGAGAATGACATACTATTAGGGTAGCAAGAGGACTCTGCATCCTCCCAACACTGAGAAAGAGGTGGAAGGGAAGCTTCAGTCTCATCTAGGAAGGAAAACCATGACACGACAAATATCTAAACAGGATTTTCCTTCAAAGCTGGAGAAATTCACTTCAGCTACCACAGGATTTTCCTAAACACCATGAGTTATTTATTATTAGCAGGTCAACACTAACATCCCTTTAGAGAATGAAAATAACAGTTCATTTGATAGTCAAAAAAACTATCAACTTCCTACAAGGGGAAATAACCTTGATCTGCACTGAAAGAGAAGCCTTTTTGTATTGCTGTATTCCTGCTTTATAACATCTAGTAATCGCTTTCCTATGAGATTATGATTCATGTCGCAGCCTACTACAGTGCAACCATATCTTGTAGGGCTTCTACTACCCTGCATACATGGTCATCACCTACTCGAGAAACTGCTACTCAGTTATAAGTAGCCTAAGGTGTGGGATGTCCTGTTCCAAAAATTCTATTCCCAGGCCTAGCCAGTGTTCCTCTTTTCCTCCTCCTTCAGCCCACTGGCAGCTGTTTGGCTTTTCTGCTACGCTCACAGCTTCTCTGCTCCTTTCTTTAAAATAAATATTTCAGGAATATTTGGACATAACTCAAGGTGAACCAGACATATATATATATATATACAACTAGTCAAAACAAAGTAATGAACCAAGGAAATAATTATCGGGCCCCTTAAGGCGCTAAGCAGAACAGGGAAAAGCAATGGGCAACACTAGGAACGACTATTTGGCCTGTTTACAGTAGAATTCATGACCGGCTTTGAAGTCCACTACATATACTTGTGAGTAGAGATGGGCATGAACTGAATCACAAAGCAAAATTCATCACAAATCTTGTCCTGTTCATGGTTCGCAAACCGAAGTTCATGAGGGTCTACCGTCACGAACTTCCACAAACTTTTAAAGCAGTTCACGGCAGTTCATGAATAGCCACAAAAGCCACAAAAACAGCTGAGCAGCAGGGAGGCACTCCCAGATGCTCAGCTGTTTTGAGCTGTCTTGTGAAGTCCCTTTAAATGTTAAAGGGACTGCACAAGACAGCCCCAAAAAACAGCTGAGTAGTAGACAGCGTTCCCTTTAAGCTGAGTTAGTGTGAGCTAGCTCACATTTTTTTAGCCTCCAGCTGACACATTTTTGTCTTAGCTCTGGAAGGATGGCTCCAGAGCAAACTAATTTATGCAGTAGCCAAATCACCTCTTCACAACCTTAATGCCAGTAGCTCACAAAGTAGGACTTTTTGCTCACAGGACTCCATAGCTTAGAGGGAGCATTGGGTTGCTCCCTGTTACTCAGCTGTTTTTTAGGCTTTCTGCAAACCCCGTTTAAAAGGACTGCAGTCCCTTTCACCGGGGTTTGTGGGGCCACAAACTGGGTAAGTTTGTGAATGAACCTCCTGGTTCATGGTTTGGTCATGAACCACAAACCAACACAAATGGCATTTTCCAGATTCATGCCCATCCCTACTTGTGTGTCTGTGTTTTACTGAGAATACACATCATTTTCCACACTGGTGGAAACTGATGTGTAGAAATTCAATTTCCGGTGACATCTACCAACAATGTATTTTTAGCGTAACACTGGCTAAATCAGTTTTTAACTCAACACTAGCGCGTTCCAGACTCGTTATGTAGGCAAGCCCTAATCTGAATTAACGTGGTCCAACAGAACCTACTGGGAAAGAGGCCAACTATCCGCAGACCAACCAAAATACCGAAATCTTACTGTAGAACCCAAGTAGTCAGGTTAACAGATCCCATGATGCCAAAGACAGAAATCAAAGTTTCTACAAAGCCATACTTATAATATTTCATCATCTTTTACTCTTCAATAGAGCTAAGTAACAGTAGTAGATTTTGAACAGAAATCCAGGAACCATTTCTCATTAAATATTTACCTCCTATGTTTTTACAGAACTGCACATTACCAGCTGAATAATGTAATTGCAAGAGCAGCAGTTCTCCTTGCAGGCTATCATCATACCAACTCAGTTCAGACATCACACCAGACATCAGACCCAGGGTATGGCTAGAATGTACACAATCCAGCAATCTTACAGAAGTCAAAGCAGACCTGGTCAATGATTGGATAGATTATCCTGGAAACCCACATATCCTGCTTGAGTTCCATGGTGGAAGAAAGGTAGGGAAATTATGTAATAATACAAATAAGTACAGTTTTAGAACATGACCCATGCCTTAAGGGAAACCATGCTTTGGAGTTGCTTATCTGCTTTTATTCTGTTTCCATGGTGCATGGGTTTCCAGAAGTGAAGCTGCAACTAAGGTTTGTCAACTGATGCAAAACTAATTAGTATAAACCATGACTTTCAACACCGGAGGTAGACTGGGGCATTACAGGGTAGCAGTAGCCAGGGGTCAGTTGGAGTCAGAGCACAGGGGAGCAGCGCTCCGGGAGTGAGGAGCCGAGGGGGCGGGCATGACCAAACTCCGCCCCCTGCTCCCAGCAGCCCTCACTCGAGCGACAAGGAAGCAGAAGAAGGTAAGTTGCCTGCCCGACCCCTTCTCGGCTTTACCAGGCCGAGTGGAGGCATGGTGTGGATGTTTTTGAGGGGAGGGAGGCGGCGACGGCGGAGGAGAGCGCCAAGGCTGGTGACAGCTTTCATAGCCGGCCGGGAACTCTATTTGCTCAAAAGTTACCTTAATCTTGGAGAGTTAATTGAAACAGCTGCAGAAAAGTTAGATTAACTGCTTTTTAATAGAGGTTAATAGTTGAGATTGGCCTGCTTATCCTGCTATATCAGATGTAATTCATATGTACATGCTGACTGGATCATTTGCACTTGTGTTGACGATCTTATACTTAGTTAAGAACCAATCACTTATCAAGATAATAATCACATGATTATGATAGACCAGATTTAGAAAAAAAGATTGATATTTTCCCATAAAAATGCATTACTGTGATACATCAATCAAATTTCTCTCGATGGAAGTCTCAGAAGAAGGCTAGGGGAAATTTCTGCATGTGTAACTTGGGCTAAAACCTGGTTTGCTTTTTTGAACTATTACTCGCTATAATGTGATTAAATAATGCTAGGAACGTTAATAATTTTAGCACTTATTCTTACAGTAATTTCAGAGGTAATTTTTACATGCTTGTATTTCCTACTCTCTTGCATAGTAAAGAAAACAATTTATTTTCTCAATAAAAGATAAAAGTCTCTAGAGTGAGTATTTAATAGGATATATGATCCCTTACAAACCAGAAGTCGCATTATTGAATTCAAAGTCTCTAGAGGTTCTCGGTCTGGTTTGCTGGTTATAGTTCAAAGAACCAAACTCACCCCTTTTAAAATTGCTGCATCCAGATTCTCTAAACCTGTTTTGCCCAGAGCTAGTTTGGTGTAGTGGTTAAGAGTGGCAGGCCCTAATTTGGGAGAACTGGGTTTGATTCCCAACTCCTCCACTTGCACCTGGCTGGATGACCCTGGACTCGTCACAGTTCCTCAGAGCTGCTCTCTCAAGAGCAGTTGTCTCAGAGCTCTCTGAGGCTCAACTGCCTCACAGGGTGTCTGTTGTGGGGAGAGGAAGGGAAGGAGATTGTAAGCCACTCTGAGACTCCGTGTGAAGGGCAGGGGATAAATCAAACTCTTCGTCCTCTTCTAATTGGATGGGTAAGTAACCTCTCATTACAACAATGCTCCAGGAACAAACTGAGTGATCCTGACAACACTACCAGCAATACAGGAAGGACTCAGCTCCGCCTGGCCCATGGCAGTGCGGGAGGAGCCAACAGATGAGCCCATTCCCATTGCCAACAGCACTGGCTGGATCTGAGCGAAGGGGCCGGCTGAGAGAAATGCCGCTGGGGATCTCAGCTCAGCTTGTTCTGGCTGCCTGTGGTCTTCCAGGGCAGCAGCCCACTAGGGAATTCCCTGGTATGTTAAAGGCCCAATCAGTCTCCATCAGCTGTCATTTCCAATCTGGTTTGCTGGCCAATCACAAACTATGGTTTGTCTAGTCAAGCCATAGTGCAGTCGCCACAATTTGGTGTGATGCCTGAAATGAATCCTGTTACACAATACATGAAGAGCCAGGTTCTCTTTCTTTATGTACACGAAAAGCAATGGGAATGACAATTAGACGCAGTCATCAGATCTGGAACATTCCTATTTCTCACCATAAAAGCACATGATATGGTAATGTCATGAACCCATACACTTGTAGGAGACAGAATGAAGTTCAAGAATTTGGGTCACAGTCTGCAACCACTCCTCCCCAACTGCTTATAGGCTAGATATCAAACAATCAGTACAGATAAGTTCATATTGAAATTCCTAATGGAGGTCAATTAAGCCCTGGTACAAAATAAATCACAATACAATCTGCAGCGAAACTCAGCACAATGTGAACACAGGACAAAAGTCTTCACAAACACAAATTACAACCTCCAGTTTTAACTAGCAAATATATTACCAGACTCATCAAGTAAACCGCTGAGAGAAATTGTTATGGGAGTGTTGACCTTTGCGAGATTAATTTAGAAACGGCTTACAATAGAAGCAAGAACCTGGGGAAATTCTCGTGATGAACGTAATAAAAACAAGAGAAGAAAAGCAGCTGCAACCCATTTTATATAAAATATCCCTCCACAACACTGAACTAAAGATGATTCCCTGCAGCTAAGACTCCCCCTCTTCCAAAAAGTAAGCCCAGCTGGGGAACAGCAGTTCTGGAGGAGGCATATGCGGGGGGAAACCGGCAGGCATGGGAGGGTGAAGCGCCTCCCCCTCCCAACGATTCTTCCTTGCAAGGATCTCCACCCCCTTGCCCATATGTGATCTTGGAAAATGTGGGTTTTGGAACATACTTGGCAAGAGTGAGCACAAGAGACTCTGCTGTTACACTGTACATACGGCTGCAGAATATTTACAAAACAGAACCTCGGGTGACTAAATTGTAACTGCCGTGGGGATGCAGTCACTGCAAAGCTGCATTGCCTGGAACGATCTTACTTCCTCAACGAATTCAAAAGCACTCATTTCACACACATAAAGCAAGAGGGGATAACATCTCCTTGGGGTTTTTTTTTGCTTTACCTTGCAGCATCTTCTTCAAGCAGCAGCTTCACAAACTGTCTGGGGATGTGCAGGGACAGCACACTCTCTGCCATTTGCTCCAAGATCCTCAGATGGTTCCCGTCAGTGGTAGGGAAACGATACATCCGACAAATGGCCCCTCCAAACACTAAAATATTAAAATGTAAGTATTTCATTTCAAAACTGGACTTACACATTCCAATCCCTTAACCCTAAAATAATCCAATGAACCAGCTGATTCATAAACCAGCTGATGAACCAGCTGATTCATACACAAATCCTACTAAATGTGCAAATTTAACCCAGTGAGATATTTATGCATCCATCTGTCAACAAAAAGCAGTTTTAAAGCATCTGTATACTGAACGATAATTATGGCCACACTTTTGTGTGTCTGGGCAGCGATATACATGCTTGTAGTTCCCCAGTGGTTTACTGGAATCACAATGGTGAAGCCAAATCATAGGATATGTTCTCAAGGTTCAAAGCTCCTCCACATAACTTGGCCTGATTGTCCCCAGGAACTCAAGCCCCAGAGAGAAAGAAAAATGTTACCACAATCACAGCAATTAAAAAATCTGATATAGTTTGTTACACAGCAGTCAGCATGTAAGGATGATCTTAGATGACTCTTTTAATGGAGGAGAGTCAAACTGGGATTTAAAAAAATCCTTCTCATTACTCTGTAACTAGGATCTTTTTATAAGTGATGTGATGAACTTTTGGCTGAGGACAGATGTAATACAGGAAAGGAATTCACGGCACGGACTCTTTCATACACCCAATTTACAAGGTACTTTGTCACCCAACGAGAGAATGTGGAGCAAGAAATGGTGCAAGAAAGGTAGGAATGATGTATCAGAATTCAATTTGCTGGTTTTCCTGAGACAGCCAATAATATAAAAAGAGAGCTGGCAGTGTTCCTAATGATGCAAGCCCACTTTTACAGTATGTCAGTCTTCAGCAAGAGATACCTCTGTGGCCACTAACCTAAGGGCTATCTATATGCAGCCTCACACATTTCCTGGGATCCTTTTTCTTGCAGGCTGCCCCCCCTCAACCCATCTTGAAGATTAGGGGACCCCTCAGAGATCCGACTATAGCCATTAAAAACAGAACATTTCCTGCGCACTTCTAGAACATGAGTCTTTTTGATTACATCAACTGCTTGCAGTAGTAACTAAGACTGACTTTCCACTTTGTTGTTTCTTCTACTTCATTTAACTAGTTTTGGAGAAAATCTTGCAGGACATTTTCCACAGAAAGTATTGTTTGTATTGTAAATACAGTAGTGCTACTCACAAAACAAATTCATCAGATGGACCTCAAATCAGCAATCTACCCCACTGCTGTAACTTATGCATGGTAAGCACTAGTTAAAGCTAGCACAGACATGTCTGGTTTTATACCATCAAGACCATGAAGCAGAAGACATCTGAAGATTACATAATTACATATTTGAAGATTCAAGTGGTGGAATGCTTACATGTTAAACCAATTATTTGTACAGGAAGATACTTACCAGATTTCAACAGTGCATCTTTCCGTAATGAAGCATATTTGGATCTTATTCCTAAAGATTCTGTTAAACTTTCATCAACTGGAAGTACAGTCTAAAGAAAACATAAACATTAAAAAAAAACCATACAATGTAAAACTTCATGACCAAACCCATATAAGATATGATCTTGACTGAACTTTAAACAAAATGCTTATTTTTTACATAATGGTCAATTATTTCACTAAATCCTGCTAATTTTTAGCAAGCGAAAACAAACAGCTTGGCAGATGACAATTGTGCCACTATGATGGAACTCATGAAATAGATTTTTGTAAGTTCCAATTTTTGTGGTGACTATTACTTTTTTTAAAAAATGGAACTAAAGTTGAAGCTTACTTCTGAAACTATCATTTCATGATGTGTTCATTAGAGTGATGGGGCAAAAAGTAAAATTTCTGGAAATATACCTTCATATCTCTTCTAGTTTTATTTCAGGACCAGAAATAAAATGTTGGGAAGCCAGAGTGCAGCAGTTAATATGTTGCTGGACTTAAGACCAGGGAGATCCGGGTTCAAATCACAGCTTAACCACGAAGCTTAATAGGTACCCTTGGTGAGACATTCCTACTCAGCCTAACTGAGCTCACAAGGTTCTTGTGAGAATGAAATTGAATGGGAAGCAGAAAACAGAGGAGGGATATGCAACATTCTGAGCTACCCGGAGGAAGAGAAGAATAAAATATGGACTCTAGGCAGTACTTTACCTTAGACTGTAGGAAATTCCTCCGGCATAAGTGGCTGTTCCATTGGAGGAACACCCACTAAGACTTGGAGGAAGGCTTCAAAACTTTGCTTAATGGAATGGCTGTAGTAATTACAGATTTGAATTTGGAAGTGAGAAAACCCAGCTTCAAAACCTTAGTAAAGGTAAAGGTTTCTTGACTGCTTGAAAGCCAGTCAAATCCGACTCTAGGGATGCGGTGCTCATCTCCGTTTCCAAGCTGAAGAGCCAGTGCTGTCCAAAGACGTTTCCGTGGTCATGTGGCCGGCATGACTAGATGCCAAGGCGCACGAAACACTTGCTCAGATATAAAGTTAAATGGTTAGCTTTGGCAATGCTCAGTCTAACCTACCTTACACATTAATTTAAAACACAAAAAGAAGAAGAAGAAGAGAAGAGATTGGACTTATAACCCGCCCTTCACTACCCAAAGGTGTCTCAGAGCAGTTTACAACCTCCTTTCCCTTCCTCTCCCCACAACAGACACCCTGTGAGGTAGGTGGGGCTGAGAGAGCTCTCGACAGAAACTGCTCTTTTTCAAGAACAGCTCTTATCAGAGCTATGGCTTGCCCAAGGTCATCCAGCCAGGTGCAAGTGGAGGAGTGGGGAATCAAACCCGGTTCTCCCAGATTAGAGTCCGTGCACTTAACCACTACACCAAACTGGCATCCCCCGCAATGCACACTGTACCGAAACAAATGTAAATGATCATAACCAGAATGAAGATGGGTAGCCATGCTAGTCTGTCTGCAGCAGCAGAAAAGAGTAAGAGTCCAGTAGCACCTAACAAAATCTGTGGTAGGGTATGAGCTTTTATAGTACCTGAAGAAGTGAACAGTGACTCACGAAAGCTCATACCCTACCACAAATTGTGTTAGTCTTAAAGGTGCTACTGGACTCTTACATGTAACCAGAATGGAATAGTTACTTGACCTTACTTAAATAGAGTCTAAATCAAAACAAAATAGAAGTTTGTTGCTCCCCTGCACTGCATATGCATTTTTTTAAACAAATAAAGCTAGTTTGCCTAAAAATTACATGCCAATTCACACAATATTTTCCCCCCATGCAAGCAGTATAACCCTGCAGGACAAACCTTAACACATAAATAGGACCTGCAGCAAATTCATATAATAACACAGCACAGCTGCCAGGAGTATAGGAACTGCTGCTGGCCATATCCATGACTGTTTAGTTAATGTTATTTGCCTGGAGAACATTTTTACAACTCACACAAGGAAAAAGTATTGTGTAAACTGTTCCCTAAGGATAGCTGAAAATATGTGGCCAAAATCTGTGGTATGGGGAAGACTGTGTATAAGATTGTACATATACAACATTGTCTTGAGATGTATGTGCAGTGTTCACACTCACCCTTCCATTGATAGTGTCAGGAGACCTGGTCACTGGAGGCCTTTGGTCCGTTTTTTCTTCCATCTGCCATCCTATCACCGTAATGTTGCCAACGCGGTCACTTTCAGCAGATCTGCAACACACAAGTTGTTGCTGTGTTGGTGTGCTTGACTTGGCAGCCCAACAGGATTATCAGTCATAAATTACACAGCATATGCCTTTGGCTGTGGACTGTACTTCTGATACTAGCCTCTGCTCATATAACCCATAACAGCCCCTGAAGTTTACACTCAAAGTAAAGATAGGGGGTTCAATTTCAAATCTACCTTTAAATTATTAAAATGTTCATAAGGAATATTTCTCTGCAAAGGTACATGTTTGTACTAAAATCCCTGGATTGTGCAAATTATTTATTACTGTAATAGTATACATGTGCATGGTACTTCACAATCAATATAGGCACAAAAATAGAACTCCCTGCCTCAAGGACCATACAATATAAATCTACATGTCTAAAAAAAGACTACAAAGGGAGGAAAGAACTAGAAAGAGGTAGCAGGGGACGGAGATAAGCATGCCAGAACTGAGTTTCAGTTTGGAGTGGAGAACGTGGGAAGTTAAAGGGCTGAGCCAAAATCAAAGGACTATGATAAAATGTGACATTGACTTACAGAGAACGAAAGACTCTGATGGTATGTAACCCATTTTGTCAGCTGCAATTTCCTAATTGTTTCTTGGAAACACTTGCAATATATATTCTGGACGTACTTTTTTAAAATGGGAGAGTGCTGACTACAGCTTAGAAGTCGTACGAGGAGCTACAACTGTATAAGTATAATTTCATTAGAATTTTCTTGTAATTTCATCTTGTACCTAGTTTTATCACATGCATGCAGTTTTTCTTATAGACAGAGTATCGGTCTACCAATATAAAAAAGGAACAGACACATGTCTACATGATGGTAATTATGTTTTTAATTAGCTGTTATCAACGTCCAGTCTGTCATGTATTATATTGTCAGAAAAAATGTTTTGTATTTTTCTATAGCAATGTACTTTTGCTTCTGAAGAATTTGTCCAACGAAACGAAGTACCATTCCGGAGTCTTCGTTACATCTTTATTACGTACCACGTATTACATTTTATGTCTCGTCCATTTTTTTAGATATACTGTATAATTCCCTTGTGTGTAATGTACTTATTGAGCATCTTTCTATGTTAAGCATTGTATTTGTTATATTGATTTATAAATTGTATTATTTAGCGTTTTTTTTCCTCTCAGCTTTCTTTCTTCCACTACAGCTTAGAAGTATGCATCCAAGCTAACCTTCATATGAATTTGAAATTTATTTCTGCAACCTTCTGAAGCCATCACAGTGCCTTGCAGGCCTCTTTTTCTTTCACCAAACAGTATTACAAAAGCGTCAGTTTGGGATGGCGCATGAGGAGCTTAAACGTTCTATTTGATCAGAGGCCCAAAAAAATAATTAAAATTAAAAGTGTTGAATTTTTCTTTTCGCTACATTAAATGTTTTCTGACTATTAAAGACTTCCACCCACCTCCATTTTCATGAGTGCACGAGTACACAAGCTGTATAAATAACAAATCTGAATAACAACATACAGTGTATAAATACATTGAGGGTAGTCGAGTTTTGCCCCTGACCCAGATGGCCCAGGCTAGCCCGATCTCATCAGACCTTGGAAGCTCAACAGGGTCAGCCCTGGTTAGTACTTAGATGGAAGAGCCCCAAAGAAGTCCAGGTTTGCTATGGAGAGGCAGGCCATGGCAAACCGACCTTTGTTCATCTTTTTGCCTTCAAAACCCTCCCTACAGGGTCATCACAAATCAGCTGCAACTTGATGGTACTTTCCACCACCAGAAGAGTCTTTGCAATTCTAATATCCATTTTGTTAAAATTAAAATACTTCTGCACAATAACTTTCTAAGCATCTCTAACCTTAAACCCTGTTACACACCTTACGTTTAAAAATTCAAAAAACCCTTAGGCTGGGAGAAGCCTTGATTGGCTGTGCAACAAAATGGCCAAACTTTCCCGAAACAGGCACAAAAACAAAGTACAAACCTTAGTGTTAAGTGCAACCGATGGTTCCTCTCCTGAAGTAGCTCCTTTACAGTGAACATCACAGAAACCAATAAATACATCTGGGGAGGGGGGAAATAAATATGGTCAATGGAGAGGACATTTAACATAAATTACTTACTTTTCTATTTATGAACCATCTCTAAGGCTTCAATAGGACATTTGAAACTAGAGTGTCTTTCTCTACATCCCCCCCAATCACTCTCTCTCTCTCTCTCCCTCTCTCACACATATAATCTCAATATATAAATATATAAAACCTGGGGTGGGGAGAAGAATCACAGGAGGGAACAATTTAGAAATCCCTCCGACTTGTAAAATCCCCCTCCCTTTACTCAGTGCTCACCTGCTCTGGCCTGGTTTCAGTGGAAATGCATGCAGAAAGAGTTGACAAAGTGGATCTTCCCCTGCACTTCCCCTTATGCAAGCTGTGAGCCAAAGAGGGAGGAGGCAATTTTACCTGGTTTTCTGCTTGTCATGGTAATGCCCTGTTCTGTGGTACTTTTTATTTTATAATTTTGTGAGGCTCTCTCAATCCTCAGGGAGGATCTTCAGGACAAACAGCCAGGCTGCTTGAAGAAGGGAAAGGCAGGGAAAGGCTGACTCCATCGAATCTTTCTGCAAGCCTTTCTGTTGGATCCACCCCTCTGCACTCCTAGGGCATATTCAGTCGTCATCGAGTTGGGTTCATGCCCACTTTTGAATAATTAAAAAAACTATTTTTCTGCATCTTCCGAGAATATAAAACCCTCCCCCCGACTATAGGTGACCTAGTTTCCCACATTTCCCCCCACATCGTTTTCTATAGCGCAAAAATGTAATACGCAAGTGATTCTCCAACTTTATGAAATTCTTCTAAACATGCTATACTTCTTGGGTCCCACTAGCAAGAACTCCACACAAGGTTCCCCCCGCCCAACATAAAATGCAGGTATCTCACATCAGTCAACACTGACAAAGTTTATATTTTATTTTTTAGTACTTCTAAATATACAGCCTCCCAGAGCCTCCTCTCTCAGCTTACCCCACTGTTCCTCCTCCTTCCTCCTGGCCTCAAGACCCACCTGAGACAGAGTCATGATCCCCTTTTGGGTCCTAGCCCACAGTTTGAGAACTTCTGTATTACACACACACAGGGCTATAAAGAATTCTTTAAACATAAATATTTTTTCTTTAGAAGTCAATATGAGCTTCCCTACCTCTCTACCCACCTACCTCTCTGTACATTTTTCTTTGGTGGTGTAGGAGTAAGAGTAATGAGGGGAATGAAGGGACCCCTAAAATTTGACTTATTTTAGTATGTTCATCTTAGATAACTCTCTTTAAATGGCTACCCGTCAGATAGATTGATTGCTGGCCCACAAAAGCAAGCCACTCTGGGGAACCCTCCCCCCCAGGTAACACATAGAATTGTGAAGAACATGAATGGAAGAGGATAACAGGACTTACAGTTCCCTGAGATCTATCTTTAACATCATATACAGAAAGTTTTATTTGTGTCATCTGGTTAATAAGAGAGTCTTGAAAAAAGGCAATACTGCTTAGAAAGATTGGATTGCTTGTTCCCTGCAATTTAAAAGACAACACACACACACAAGAAAGTTAATAGAGACAACCTGGAATCAACGGAAATAAGCCACTTTTACATCTGCTTTGCATCCACTTACCTCAATAATTTCTGTCTGAGCATGTTTTGTCCAGAATGCCTGAGGAGGTGTGGTTACACTCACTGCTACAAAACTATTTGGCTTTCTATCTAGCGACGGAGTAAGCAGCTCACTGCAAGCTACAGGAAACCAAGAACATAATTTTTTTTAATAACCTATTGAGGCACTTTGATGCAAACACAATGTGCAAAGAAAACCAAAATCTGCCTGCTTTTTCCTTGCCTAACATCTTGTTCATGGACAATCTTTGTCTTGTTAGAAATAATACAAAAGAATCTAGAGAAGTGGTCTCCAGCACATGAAGATCTCTGGCACAGTGTTTTAATGTACCACACAACTCTGTTCCTCCTACAGCAGAATAGCCCACAGAGAACAAAATATTCACAAATATGAGTGCCTTCCCATCTAAGTAGTGTAACAGTCCCACTATAATGCAAGGTACTCAGCCCAAAGACAATCCCCCAGTCACTCACTGCTTGGCAAGGATGGAGGGAAGGATCAGTGATTCTCTGTCATCTTGATGCTTGAGGGGGTCAACAGTGGGAGGGCTTCTAATGTCCTGGCCCCACTGGTGGACCTCCTGATGGCACTTGGTATTTCTGGCCACTGTGTGACACAGAGTGTTGGACTGGATGGGCCTTTGGCCTGATCCGACATTGGCATCTCTTATGTTCTTATGTTCTTATCTTTACACACTGGTAATTTTTTTCAAAGCCAGGCTTGTAAGCAGCCACTGGCCCAGTTGTTGGCGGCAAGTAAGAATTACTGTCTGGTAACTAGGCAGGGATTTTTTTAAAAGAACTGGGAAAAGGTTGAGCCTCATATTTCAGGCTGTCAAGATGCCACAAATCATATGTGAAGGTAGCCAAGTCAACTGAGGCAACAGCAACATTTGTAAATTTATTTGTGAGGCCAATTAAAGCAATAAAAACTCCAGAAAAACCCAGATTACTCTGTTCAATCACAGTGCTCTTTCAAGATCAATTTGCAGAAAATGGGTATAGCTGAAGTTTAGTTCCCCCAAATATCACCCTTGCTTCCCTCCTTTGGAAATAACTATGTCATCTGAAACTCGCTGGGTGGAAGGAGAGAGGTGCTTTCTTCCCAATGAGAAGTTGAGGAAATTCTTTTATGATTTGCGCACGCAAATCACAGATCAGATTGGATGAGTTTTGTGCAGTCTACTTTTTGTTACTGCTGTAGGTTTTTAATCCTATACTTGGGATCTATTAACAGTTAAGGCATAACAAAGTTAAGCAAACTTGAGTATGTATCCTTACTCAACATTGTAAGATGCACCTGTTGAATCAGACAAAGGTCCTTCTAGTTCAGCATTAACTGTAGTGTGCCAAGTTAAGTGATCCTAGTTTCTTGGAAACAAGCTAGACTATCATCATGTTTAAGGAAGAGCTTATTTATGTACAACGACCATATAAAAACAATCAAAATATTAAAAGCAGGAATGAAGAACAAAAACTACATCACTTACCTAAACTAAATTCTAAAATTGGCTCATCTGGATCTTGGATATTTCCTACAAATTACAGAAGTCAAGTCAAATTGCTTTTATTAAAACAGAATGAAGCTGTCATTTGAAAGAGCAATGTTTCTCTTTCATAACCCTTTTTTGGGAAATTCAAATGACCCTATTTGTTTTAAATGCATACAAAAATATATGAGTAGAAGAAGAACCACCATGAAACTTGTTCCGTACAGTACTGGGGACTTTGAAAAGTATTGGGGGTTTACTATTTGAGATGTACGAATCCAGACTGCTTTTGAAAAGTACCAGAGGCAATTTATTGTTTTGGGGGGGGGGTGTCAAAAATCCCAGTCACTGTGTGCAAACACTTGGATCTGCATTTAAATTAAAAGGTAAAGGTTTCCCTTGCTCGAAAGCCAGTCGAATCCGACTCTAGGGTTGCGGTGCTCATCTCCATTTCCAAGCCGAAGAGCCAGCGCTGTCTGAAGACGTTTCCGTGGTCATGTGGCCGGCATGACTACATGTCGAGGCGCACGGAACACTGTTACCTTCCCACTGAAGTGGTACCTATTTATCTACTTGCAGTTTCTTGCTTTCGAACTGCACGGTTGGCAGGATTAAATGAAAAGGCAATATTTAAAATCTACAACCCTGATATGATATTCTTCAGTAAAAGTCTTAAGGCAACACTTAATGGAGAGGTTTGACAAAAACCTATGAACTCCTCTCTGTATAAACGCACAGTCTCAAACATGCTGCTATTTGTCCTGCCCTGAAGTTCTTTTACCACATTGCTCTGTCCTCTTAGTTGCTACCTAGGACTCAGAGGGGGGGAAACCCCTGCTTTATGCATCACCAATATTAGGGGGGAAAGCTGTATCTAAAAGACTGGAATTTCAACACACAAAGAATTTTAATATAAATATGAAGGCACAGATAGAGAAAAGATGCTTACCCGCCAAAGACATACCAAGCATGTCAGAAGTGACATCAATTGTCGAGGCCCGCTGCATACTTCGGGATTTTGCACCGTGGCGGGGGCTCTGTTCTTTCGCTGACATGTTGTCATGGAGAAGGTGCTTCTTCTCACAGGTTGATCTCAGCAATGTCCTGGTGTAGCATCAGAGCACTTTGCTTGCAGCTCTTAATATATCAGCATGCTAAAATGAAAAAACCCAATATTATTTATTTAATTCTTTTGTACCCCTCATTTTTCACCACTGGGAACTCAAAAGCAACTTACAGCATTCTCCTCATCTCCATTCTGTCCTTACAATAACCCCATGAGACAGGCTGGGAGAGTGTGACTGGCCCAATATCACCTGGTGAGCTTCCCTGACGGGAATGGGGATTCAAACCTGGGTCCCCCAAACACTGATACTCTTAACCACTACACCACACTAGCTCTCTTTGAATTAGGTTCCAAGCCACATACATTTAAAGTCCTCATTCTACTCCTGGGAAGTTTGAAAAGATTTGAAATGACAGCGCTAAGGGAAAAAATTACTGACAGGACTTTAGTTTCAATGGATACTGACTTCCCTGTAAGAAACTATCAAAATACAAAGCAAGACAGTTCCCCTCCTTGTGAATGAGAAAACGATTAGAAGTTTCTTTATGCTGTTAGACCATCTTGCCTGTTGTTGGCCACTCTAAGGGCCAAACAAGACATGACAGCATCTTCGGGGTGGCTGCAAGGTCGCCTCTGCCATTTTGAAGTCAGAATCTAACTATGCTGTGAGGACTCAATCCTGGCACCCTTGGTGCCTGCCATTCATCCTGTCAAGTGCCAAAACAGCCACGGGGATGGATCAGGCTATCTCAAAACTTGATAAGGCATGAGGAGAATAAGGAAGAAGAGGAGATTGGATTTATACCCCGCCCTTCACTTGGAGTCTCAGAGCAGCTTATGGTCTCCTTTCTCTTCCCCTCCCCACAACAGACACCCTGTGAGGAAGGTGGGGCTGAGAGAGCTCTTTCCAGAACTGTCCTTGAGGCATGATAAGGCATGTCTACTTTGGCTTTGAGTGGTTGCTGATGAGCCACGGGAGGATTTTGTTGATGAGCCACAGGAGGATTTTTCTAAATTAGGTCAATAGGCAACAACATGGCAAATTACTTTCAGCATGGGTAAATGTAAGGTGATGAATACTGGAACAAAAAATCCTAATTGTAAATATATGCTGATTGGGTCTGAACTGGCTGAGTCTGAGACTGAAAGAGATCTTGGAGTTATAGTGGAAAGTTCAGTGAAAATGTTGATCCAATGTGCAGCAACAGTGAAAAAAGTAAACTCCATGCTAGGAATTATTAGGAAAGGGATTGGAAATAAAATGGCCAATATCGTAACCCCCTTATATAAAGCTATGGCATAGCTTCATTTGGAATACTGTGTTCAGTTCTGGTAGTCGTACCTCAAAATCGACATTGCAAAGCTGAAAAAAGTACAAAAGAGGGCAAGAGATGGGATATAATATATGACTGGCTGAAGATAAAGAAGTTATAGTAGGAATAGAAAATGATAGCTAAAAATACTAATTGTTAAACTAGAAAGATGAAACTTGCTTTTGGAAAAGTATGAATTCTAAAAGGATTCGTTTGAGTTATTTGAATGTGTAAATTGACATTAATATTATAAAATAAGTCAGAGTAAGAATTGTGGATGAGAAGGGATAGAATATAAGATTGGCTGAAAATGAAGAAGTTATAGTAAGAATGGAAAATGCTAGTTTAAAATATTAATTGTTAAAACAGGAAGATGAACTTTATTTTTTGGAAAAGTATGAGTTATAAAAGGAATGTTTGATTTATTTTAATGTTTGTGAAATTGAAAATAAAATGTTAAAAAAATCTGACTAAGGGGGGGGGGACATGATATAAAACTGTGCACGGGATGGTGAAAGTGGATAAAGGGTCCTTCTTCTCCCTCTTCCATAATACTAGAATTCAAGGGCACCCAATAACATTGGTGGGAAATTGGTTCAGGACAGGGCATATGTCTTTACTCAACAAGTAATTAAACTATGAAATTCACTGCTGGGGAGGGGGTAATGGAGGCCAGAAGCACAGACAGCTTTAAAGGGATCAGCTTTACACAGACCCAACAGCCCTAATAGCCCAGACTGGCTTGACTTCACCAGTGCTCAGAAGCTAAGCAGGGGCAGTACCTGGATGGGAGATCAGCAAGGAATACAGGGGCTGTTATGCAAAGGAGGGAAATGATAAACCGCCTCTGCTCATGTCTTGCCTTGAAAACCCCGTAAGGTGAACTCCATGGGGTCACCATGAATCAGTTGCAACTCAGTGGCACACTTTACCTTTAGATAAATTCATGAAGGAGAGCTCCAGCAACAACCTGAGCCATGCTGACTGAAGGAGGCCTCCATCTATAGAGGCAACAAACTTCTGAACAACAGTGCCTATAGGCAGCAAGCAGGGGAGAGCCTCAGCCTCTATGCCCTGTTTGGCCCTCTGGAGTAACTCGTTGGCCACTGTGAGAAACAGGATGTTGGACTAGATCAGGGGTGGCCAAACTGTGGCTCGGGAGCTGCATATGGCTATTTTACACATACTGTGCGGCTCCCGGCAGGGCAGTTGGGGAAGTGAAGGGGAGGCATGCCTCTTTGATTGGTCTTCCCTTCCCCAGCCAGTGTTCCCCCTCCCTGGGTAGGCTTGAGGCAGGGGGGGGGGGAGCAGGGAAAGAAAGCAACTTTGACTTTAAATGTGTTCTCAAAGCCCCTCTCCCAGCCTACAAATATCATTGGACAAATATCGTTATCAATATCTGTTTTTACCCCTTCTGTTTTTATTTTTGGCAGTGCAGTCTCATTTAATGCTAATAAAAAGCAAATTTGCATATTTTCCAATAAAAATGTGTAATATTTGTTCATGTCTTGCGGCTCTCAAACATCTGACGTTTATTCTGTGTGGCTCTTACGTTAAGCAAGTTTGGCCATCCCTGGCCTAGATGAACCACTGGTTTGATCCAGCAGGATCTTATGTTGCAGACTGAGACCTTAGGCCGAGGCTTTTTCCTAGTTCTTCTACTTGAGAATCTTTACCTGAAGATGCCAGTGACTGAACCCCAGAACTCATTTAGGCCAATTATCGCTCTGAGACAATTTTCCAGGGCCACATACTTTTTTACCCCATCTGAACTCCACGTAATTTCAATCTGCAAAAGGAGCTGCGTGTTGCAGTAAAATTTCCATTAACTGCATGACTGTTTACACTGACCATCTTTATACTTACAAGGGCTGTTATCCTCTTGGATATGATGTGACATTTCTTAAAGCCGGATTTATTTTCCCATCTAAAAAAAAGAAGAACATATAACAGTTTAGTCAAAAGCTTCTGAAACAGACATGGATTTTAAACACCTGCTTCTGTTTTGTCTCCTAACCATGTCTCACGACGCCCTGTGAGCAGCATCTATGTTTAACTACGCTGACAGCCTCAGGTGTGAAATAAAGTTTCTGTAGGATTTAACAAGATTATATTTAGAAGCCTGTCAAACTAATCAGCTGCTCTACTATAGAAAGGGCAGAAAACAGTTATAGAAGCAGTCCAAGTAAAACACAAAGGAGATTTTATCAAAATGGCATTTGTATCGATTCAGCCCGCGGAGGGCAGTAAGAGAAGACAAAAAGAAACCTATAAACCCAGATAAAAATGAGGCAACAGTTTATGGTTGATCTTAAATTAAAATCTCTATTATTATTTAGACTGTTGACACTGGAGTATTAAGTATTTGGGCAAGCAAGGTGCAAGTCTCTGCTGTCCAACTGGCAGTTTCCAGGTAAATGGAAGAATTTACACACCTACTGCAATAAAATGGGACTACAGCTCAGGATAGTGGCTCCAGGGAGGACAAGGCCCCTGCATATTTCACGCCACATACGATTCCCCCCCCCCCACTGGACCAACAGTTCTCTTGGGGCTATTATGAGCTATGGGAAGTGCAAACAAACTCCCTCGACCTGCCTTTTGAAAAGTTTGATCTTGCATATATGTAAAAGCAGCCCTTTGAGTCCTCCCAGTCCACACCATGCTACGTTTGCCAGCCTTCAAGTGGGCCCTGGGGATCTCCCGGAATTACAGCTGTCCAGACAACAGTCGACCTGGAGAAAATGGCTGCTTTGAAGGAGGGACTCTCTGGCAAAATACCCCACTGAGGTCCTTCCCCTCCTCAAACCCTGCCCCTCCCCACACCCCACATCTCCAGTAATTTAATTGTATTTGTATTGGATGGTTTTAAATTGTATAATATGTTTTAATATTGGAATAGTATGTTTTATCTGCAAGATTTCTTGCTTTGTAAGCCGCCCTGAGCCCTACGGGGGAGGGCGGGGTATAAATCTGAATAATAAATAAATAAATAAATAAATTACCCAACCCTCCCGCTTCCGGCTTCTTCACAAACCTTGCCTGCCCGCCGGCGGAGGGATCTCCGCCGTTCCTGCCTCCCCCCCGGGGGTGGGGTCTCCGACTCGCCACGCGCAACACATTTTGAAAGAGGAGGACTCTGGACACTTGCCCGGGATCTTCCACCGGCCCTTGGATTTGGCAGCAGTTCTGACGCTTGGGGGTTTTTTTACACATTCGGGAGGGGGGTTTCCCTTGGAGGGAGGGGGAGCACCCACCCACCCGCTGGCTCACCCTCTCTCTCTGCCTCCCCCCTCCTCTCCTTTTTGCACGGGAAAGGCGAATCCGGGAGGCGGCGGCTGGGAAACCTGCTCGCTCGCTCATCCGCACCCGACTAAGCGCTCCCGCCTCGTCCCCACAGCGGCGGCGACCTCCAGCGGGCGCCAGCAGGGAGCTCCAGGCCCCGCCCCCCGTGCCTCACCCGGGGGAACGGCGTCCCCCCGCGATCCCCCCGAAATGACCCCTGGCTGTCTTTGACCTTGAAACTCTTAAATAGAATTGGTCCAGTGGACTTGAAGGAGTACATCACATACTTCTACTAAAGACCTGCTGAAAGGACCTTCTTAGGAGACCCTGGCTGACTGAATTACACCAAGAGGCTGCCATATCTAAGCCCTTCTCTGTTAGGATGGGTCTCTGAAACTCAGATATAAACAGCAAAGCCTGGGAACTAAAACATGGTGCCTCGTTGGTCAATGTGTGGAGCTGATGAAGGTGTGGATAGTATCTGTCCACTCCGGGGAGAGCCAGATGAACATAGAAGACAAAATAGCAAGAAATTTCAAAACCAAACAGAAAGTGGCTCATTCTCTTGGTTCTGTCACCTGACACTGAGAAATTAGTCCTTTCCCTGGAGACTCCAAAAAGGAAGCTAAAGCTTGAAATTTCAATCATACTGTGGAAACTTTTCAATGCTCCCTCAAAGCTGTGGAGTCCTGTGGTCAAAAATTCTACTTTATGAGCTACTGGCATTAAAGTTGTGAGCAAGCAATTTGGCTTCTGCATAAATTAGTTTGCTCTGGAGCCATCCTTCCTGAGCTAAGACAAAAATGTGTGAGCCGGAGGCTAAAAAACTGTGAGCTAGCTCACACTAACTCAGCTTAGAAGGAACACTGTGCCCTTCTGTAGCATTCAGTCAGCAAGATTTTTTTTAAAAGATCAAAATGTATGAAAGCTTCCAGCATTCTCATTTTTAAGATGTATTCCTCAACTGCTAAACAAAACCCAAAAGAATTTCCCCAATTCTGTAGCATTCAGTCAGCAAGATTTTTTTTAAAAAAGATCAAAATGTATCAAAGCTTCCAGCATTCACATTTTTAAGATGTATTCCTCAACTGCTAAACAGAACCCAAAAGAATTTCCCCAAATGTACTGTCATTTCCATTGTAAGAGACTGTTTTGTGCAGATATCCACCCTAGAATATTTTTTTAAAATACCTCATCTTGACCCCGGGCACACGAGCGGGATAATCCGCAGGTGACGGGAGGCTTTTAGAGCCGGAGCAAAAAGACGTGCGGTAGCGCGATCTCACCTTCTCCCGAGGGTCCGTGTCCAAGCCTCCGGCAGCCGATCACACCACGCAAGGCAACAGCAGCAAGGCGTTTGTGCACATGCGTGGGACGCCAATAGGCGCTGGCTGCGATGGGTTACCAGTGCTTCCTGCTCAGACGCCCGCACGCACCGTGCATTATCAGGAAAAGAATACATGGTTCCTGGTAGCTTTTAAATCCGTGTCTTCAGGCCGAAGCTGCGGGTTAGAGACGGGAGTGCGACGATTCCCAGATGTTACGGTATGATCACGCTGCTTTAATCTGCAGGCAAGCCGTCCCTCTTGCGGGGCAAATTCTCCGTGTGACTGGGGCCTAAGTTTGCCCATTACTACCATGCAGGGGTCATTTCCTGCAGGAGCGCACAGGAGCGGAGCTCTGGCAGTAAAGAGCCCAGGGGGTGGGCACATAAAACAAGCCCCACCCCCTGCTCCCAGCAGCCCTTAGTCAGAGCAAGAAGCAGCCAGGTAAGTTGCAGAGCCCCCCGGCCCCCTGGTCCAAAGCAGTCCAGTGGCACCTTTAAGACCTTTATTCAGGTACAAGCTCTCCCTCCTCTGTGAAGACAGATCTGCATGTTCTTCCCCCCAAAAAAGCTAGAAATCCAAAACAGTCCAGTAGAGCCTGAGCGGTGGGTGTTGCCTTCTGACACACTTCCGGTGATGTCAGGGGGTGTGGCATATGCAAATAAGTTATGTTAATAGGTTACGCTAATGAGCTCCTGCACCTCTTTTTCTACGAAATGACCGCTGCTACCATGTTAATAGGTCTCTGCAAAGGTTCTATATGCTTTACCAATAGGACATGCTGAGAAATATATAGCAGCCAGGCACAGTGGGCACAGTTTTCTATAAATGCATCTCATCCCCATGGTGCTGCAACAACATTCAGAAACTTCAGAGGACTGCCACCATGTGGGTAGGGCCAACTCTGTGTGCCTTCACCTGAAACGGATGCCCCCTCGCCAGCCCCAGTGGTTGCAGAGTCCTGAACACCCTAGCGCTGCGACGTCCATGGTGCTTCTGTTATTTTTATGGGCCACTGATTTCTGTGCTTTTCTTCTGCAATATGAATTAATGACCCACTGGGGGGGGGAAACATTTTATGTAGTACATTTTTAATTTAAATATACTTTCCAGCTTTGGAAAAGGTATTTTTTTAAAAAGACAGAGAGCTACACAGTATACAAGATTTAGCATAATAAAACAGCAGTACAGAATTTTTTTAGAATTGGTATTACACCAGTGCTTTCCAAATTCCAGACAAATAAAGCACGTTTCTTCTCCAGAGACACATTTCATTTTTACTCTTATTTATTTATTTATTAATTATTAAATTTGGTTTCTATACCACCCTCCCCTGTGGGTCACAGGGGCCAGGGCGGTGTACAACAACAACAAAATTCATACATAATTTCAGAGTTAAAACCAATAAATACATTAATTAAAAACAATAAGTATGTTAGTTAAACTAATCAGAAGGTGCTAAACTTCAGTCATGACGCCGCCTCATGGGGGAAGCAGAAGGTAAAAGCACCAGCCAGGCAAAGGACAGGAGTGCCAGCCAGATGGAAACCATCACTGCCCTCAACCAAACACCTGGCGGAACATCTGTGCCTTACAGGCCCTGTGAAACTGCATTAAGTGAGACGCAAGGCCCACCTGTCTTCAGAATCACCCACACTCAGTGCTTCTGCCTACACAGCTGTTCTAAGCAGGCCTCCAGATCTGAAGAAGCAAGTCCAAAGCAATGACTTATGCAGAAGTGCAACAGGAAGCTTCTGGGGCTTACAACTGTGAAACACAAATGGGCCACTGGTTTCTGTGCCAATTTCTGTGCCAATCACATCCAGCACAAAAGGGGAGGAATCACCCGACCTAACAGAATGCTTACTGGAATGAGGTAAAGGCAAGTTCTGCGGGCAGTGAGCAGCTCCCTCTTGTGTATGGGTACAGAAGGCTCACCGGAGCTTCTTTTCCCCCCCACAGTATTCTAGCAGTTCACAGAGGACCCAACCAAATGTGCTCTGGCACACAATTTGAGAATTACTGCTCTAATCTATGACATTAAATTCTAAGCTCTTCAGGATAAACTGTCTTGCTTACACCAGTCAAAGCAACAGAATGATTTCCCAGTATAGCCATGCAAAGTGAAGAAAATTCCTCTTTGGCAAGCAAGACGTTTTCATTCTACTAGAAATTCTGAATATACAAGGTTTTTTTAAATCCCAGCTGAACTGAGATTTAAACCAACCGATATGACTATAAAGTCTCTGAACCATTTACTTTTTAACAAAAAAAGGTCCTAAGAAACATGTAAGAAAGTAAACATGTTGCCCTGACT